AGGGAAACTTTAATGAACCACTGGGGAAATTACTTGGACATATCAGTTATAAAATATCACCAATGTATTTTAAACAAATGGGTCAGCATGAGCCTGATAAAATGACTTACATGACATACAGACGTGAGCTAGTGAACTCTGTATGTTTTTTCTGCATACATCTGTTTTTCTTCCTTGGATTTATGTTAAAGGTGCACTATGTAATTTTTTGGAAGGGTCTTCATCACCTTCTTGTTTCTATGCATATGTCATTGCTGACATTGATGACATTAAACAGCTCTACCTTAAAGTTATTCAAGGTGGTTTTATAGTTCAAACATTCCTTTAAAAAATATGCATTCTGACAGTGAGTGGGGTTGCCTCTCCAAAGATATGATCTGTAACTTGGTCTCGTTCTGTTCGAAAGGTTTAATGCCATACTGTAAAACATTCCAGAGAAAGCAATAACATGTCCACAGAGAAAAGCATCTGACAGACCCTCCACCAGAAAAGTTACACAATACACCTTTAAGCAGAAGTGTAGTTTCACAAAAAAATTACAATAAAACTTCTGGGTTTTATTTATAATTTTTTTATTATTGATCCTCATTTGATTAAAGAAATTGAAAAGCAGGCTCAGGAGCATGGGTTGACACGGACGTAGTGATGAATGTGGCAACACTGCCAGCTCAGCCCTTGTTATCTTGGCCTACGTCACCAGAGGGCTAATACTGACGTATAACCAGATAAGAATGGACCATACCACAATGTGTTGAGTGTCCCCGGGTCCTGTACTGATGTATTTCTCTTATGTTAGACTTCCAGGCTCTTCTTACAGTTCTCGGTCTACAGTTTATTCTACAGCATCCTCCATGTGTTAAGTCCCCCAAAGAGAACTTCAACACCTTTAGCTCTGCTACAGTTGCCTCCTTTTGATTTCAAATGTTTTCTTTTACAATAATACTTACACTGGCTGCAGCAGTAGATTAAAGCTCAGTATTAGATTAGATTCTTACTAAAAACCATACACGACAACATCCAGCGTAATGCTTATTATTAAAGGAAGGCCATTTTCTATAACTAAGGAAAATGAAAAGTCTTCACACCAGGAGAGAGCACCGCCTTTGTCAGAACTCATATAGATTTGTACTGAGGGTCTATGTATGGTATAATAACACTAGAGGCAACTGGTGGTTTTATTATTAGGCAAGACAAAGGATGGTGCATTTTATTAGCATTTTGTGGATATATCTACATTTTTATGAAGAAGAAGTCATGTTATTGACCTTCAAACTTTCAGATAAAGGAGCTGTAGGAATGAGACACCACATGACTCAGTCTCTTAGACAAACAGACCAGGAACGGTCACTGACTATCAGTGAACATTTGAGGTTGAACATCAGTACAAACTGTATACCCAAAAGAACCTCTAAGTTATTTAGGTGTTTATAAAATGTATGAAGAATATGGAGTCAGTCAATTTATGCCAGTGCAGCTGTGTCAGAGGCTGTGTCCGCTCATGTACTACTGATTTGACATTGACATTCCATTCTATTAAAGAGGTAAACAACTGCATTTTAATATTTTTTCTGTGAATTTCAAATATTATAATTACTGTTTTTACAGTTCTTTCTTTCAAAATATAAAAATAATTGTTGAGTTGAGTGAAAATTCTGAAGAATAACTTTCAAGTGAAATCAGGGGAAACTGAGTGACACATACTACATTTAATATGAAGGCTACATTGGTATAAATTGGATTGCAAGCTGTATTTAACAGGCAAATTGTGCTGAATAATGGGGAAGGAATCTTAAAAGTTGTTTCTACATTGCCTAAATCATGACTCTGGGTGAGGTCAGTAGTAAATAGAAAAGGTTACACAAAGTATTAATTTGGATGAGGTTTGAGAACACTGTCTATGTACAAGATATTAAATTTGACCAGGCCAAATTTAACATCTTTTACCCTTCATCCAAAAGGCTTTATCAAATCTAAGTAGGTACGAAAGATGGAGTACATTGCACAGTGAGAGGTGGTATTGAACATGAAGGTGTAGGTATTGTGTCTATTGCTGTATTGTTGCTTTGGTTTGAGTTTAAAGATGCATCACCTGTATCCATGGAGATGTGCCGGGAATGTTCCACATTATGGCATGGAGAGAAGTAGATCAGAAGTACATCAATGCATATTGTTTTTCCTAGACATGCAATAAAAACACCTATAATGAAATAAATGCTAAACCTAAAATACTAATATATAAAGCCATTGTGGAGCCTCAGATACATCTCTCAAATGATAAACAGATGTACCCTTCATCAGAAAAGTTACACAGTGCACCTTTAAGGAGTCAGGTTGTAACTTTCGTAAACCTCCAATTCCCTTTCTTATTGTGCTCCACACTTGAACTCATTTGGACTTACCCCTTAGCCTCTTTTTGACAGTTCTCGTCACAACACTATGAATATTCTGAGGTTGACTCTACTCTTCAGTCTTTTTATGGTACTCAAGGAGGCTGCTCTGGTGATGAACAGATAAAAACAAAAAGTCAAAGATGTGAAAATGAGGCCAGGTATAGAGGGACTTGTTTTTTACTTTGAAAGGTCCAGACAGTTCCTCATGAGCCATGTGAGTCAGTAGAAACAGCCAAAAGTACAACAAAACCAAAAGAAATCACTTGGTCAAAGGACTTGATGTTTTTATGTATTAAAAAATCATCATAATGTTTCCAAAATTGGAGCTGCAACTCTCTCTCTCTCTGGACATTTTCTTCACTTGTTCAAAGGGTTATGCTTAGAGTGGCATCAATCATTCAATAAGCAACACATTTACAAAAACATAAAAAGTTGTAAATGTTTTATCTAACTGAAGAACCTGTGCCCTGCTTAGTTTCAGTGGTTTGGTACAAAACAGAAAGTAAGGGACTATCTATTGGTCATACAAAGATCAGAAAAAACACATTCAATTAAGATTGTTAGAGTTCACAATTCACTGTGATTGGTTAAATATGCCTGTCACTCACTCAAAGCCTGATGGAGGCCGACCAACTATCATGGATGGAAGGTATATGAATATGTTATTACATTTCACTTGATTTCTAAGTTCTGCCTGATTAGTTTGTCTATATATTTGAATGTGAACTATTTTAATTTCATAAAGTAAAACTTTGTCATGTCATGGACGGACGTCCAAGCATCCATTTTTCTTACACGACCCTGTCTTTCAGCTTAGTTACCTAAGCCGGCTTAATAATACACAGTACTTTCACACTTTTAGTGTGAGAAAGCCACACTCCCTTTTCATCTCAAGTCATCCAAATCGAAAATGAAATATCCTTTTGCAATTCTGTGTGTGAGGGTTAAATAGTGGATAAAGCAGGTGTACTGCTTTATCCACTCAGGGCAATAGGTCAACAAAAAGGACTTGAGCGCTATACAAGCAAGGGGAGAATACAATATCCTCCTTTGCTTATCCATGAGTTTCAGAATGATTAAAAAGTAAAAGCAAGTAAAACTTTAAAATGAAATATTATATGTTTTAATGGCAAAAACTTCTTAAAATCTTGCCTTAAACAGTAAGCTGAAACAAAAGAATATGATATGGTCATATGTAGTGTTTACTGTGTTGCAAGAGTCACCCAGTTGTCATGGACACCAGAGCATTTATGGGGTTTATGGGGTTTATGGTGTATAGTTCAATGTGAATGATTAACATTTCAATTAGAGACGCTTTTCCATTTTGGAGCGTGGGGGCTGTTTTTAACAACTTTAAAAGGGAAAACTTATTCTCACTTGCATGTACACTGCATGTACATTTGATATATATTGTTGTGGCATATAGTCAAAAAAGTAAAGATGAGTGGATGTCTACTATATGGCTGCATGTTAGACTTTTATTTGTTATATTAAAATTATTAAATTATTAGTATCAATGGCTTTATTAGGTTTGAATGTCACATGAACTGCATGTCCAAATGTGAGCCTTGCAATCCACTCACCATCCCTCAAGCCCTTAAGCAGGAAAAAAAGAATATATTCTACACTATAATATACATTATGTAGTTGACATTGTGCATTTGTATCAGGTTAACCACAACATCTGAGCATACAACTGTCAGCATTCTGGTAATATGCAATGATTTGGTAAGGACAAGCAGACAGTTTAAATCAATCTGTGTGACAAATGGGTGGCTTCATAACAACGCAGTGAGAGAACATATTGATGAGCATAGGACCTGTCTGGGCCTTGGCTCAGGAGACTTAGAGGTACACCACACTAAAGGTGTCGTCCACTAAGCGAGAGAGAGCGATTTATCGACTATGGCTCAGCCTCCAAGGCTTTAAGCCTGCCCTGCTGTTAATGAAGCTTAAAACAAACAGAACTCTGTGTTATCCCAATAAATACAGTCTGCAAATTTTACATCTTCAGTTCTTTTCTTTTTTTTTTAGCTTTTAAGTCATTACAACACAGGCAACACAAATTGCTATTGGATGGCTTTTGGATAAAATAATGGTAGTTACTCAAAACTATTTAAAATTAATCACATACATTTTGCTATTGTATCATCGCAGAACTAGTATATAGCCTGATCACTGGATCTTTATAGAGCTTACTCATATGCACAAACCCTAAAAATATAAAATAACAATAAAACTAAATAAAAGAATGCATTGTTAGAAAATGTCAATAACTTGCCTATAACTAGTTTTTCTAGTTGTCAGTTGCCCAAACAAGCTTTTTCATAGTGTGTGATGTGTGGAGTTTAATGTAATGTTTCCTATTAAAAATGCTTCGGAGGAAACATATGGGACTGTATTAGCCTTCAGAATGCAGGCTTTGTGTTTACAAAGTGGAAGGGTCTATAGTTTATTAAACTGAACTACAGAATATATAGTAGGTGAGGCTTATTGGGCTGACTTTTTTGTCACATTATATTAAAGTGGTGGAGCGTTAAGACACGACCTACCTACATCCACTACACTCTTAGTGAGCTATCTGATCTGATCATCACCATTGGTACTCACTGAGGCTGACTACAATCCTGGAGGTTGCACATTCGTCTGATGGGTTTGGGCTTCTTACTGGCATCACAGTATCCTCTGTGAACCATCTTGGTGTCACCCTTCTTTCGGCAACCATATTTGGTACTGAAAACCTGGAAAAATACAAACATGTTCCCTGTATTACAGTTTGAAAAATAACTATGAACATATAACATTATAGTTCATAGTTAATATAAAAATGATTATGAACATGATAATATCTATGTAGACTTGTAATAATAAAGCTGTGTCTCTTTGAACAAAATCCTATTATTAAAATGTCAATTTGAAATCTAGTGGTAATGCAAAATCACAGTTTTCTCTGTGATTCCTGGTCTGTTTTACATAAATTTAAATTTATAAAATAAAAAATAAAGTTTAAATCTTTTTTTTTTTTGCCCCAAATATCCCCTGCTTATCATATGTGCTCTGTAGGGAAAGCCAAGGGTATTGTGACACTCACACTGATATCTAGAAGCATCAGGACCATGAGTGAGGAGGACGCAAGTAGCTGTATAATATGAGCAAAGAACCTCCCTGATGGAGCTGTACCCACTAAGCCAACTGGCACCCTCAGAAACATTGGAGTAACTATCCTATTTCCTGGTGTTTTGTTCCATTGTTTGATGTGAATATTTCACCAGACAGCTAGTGATATTTTACAGTCAACATTTGATGAGACTGATGATTGTGGTCTAATTGATTGTAATAGCTGCTTACAGGCCCAAATGTGTCACCACAAGATTTAATGTGATAAATAAGGGACACATAAAGCAAAACAAATGCCACAGAACAGTGATGCTAACGCCTCTATTATGAGAGGAAATGACTCCTTTCCATTCATCTCTAATTTGATGATAATTTGCTTATTACCTCCGGCACAGGGCTTAGAACATGGAGACCAGCTCTTCAGTGCCCACTCGTACGTGTCCTCCTGAATCACATTGTTGTTGTTGATAGGCACCGAATCTTCATGGATGATGTACTTGTACATTAATGTAGACCGAGTGTCATTGTTCTTTGGTATAATCTGTGGAACAGGGCAAGTCAGGGAGAGGACAATTAGAGACACAAGACTGCAGATTTGCATTCAAATACTACCTTGGACAAAAAGGGGCACATAAAAGAAATCTTTGTCAATAATGAAAAGAGGTACTGGGAATTTATACAATTAAATGAGACGGGGTGATTATATTACCAAGAAGATTAAACTAAAGAACTATTCACTCTGCATTAACATTCAGGTAGCAATGTATAGTAAATAAATAATTGAATTTCCAATGTCATGAAGTTTAAACATAAAAACTGACATTGAAACGTTTATGATGCAATTTCTAAAGTAGAACTAGTTCACTAATTACAATGAGTTCAGTCACATATAGCCTATATGTAATTGCATCAATATATGCCATACACTCCTATTTTACACTCCAATTCAAATTGGACCTTGCCTTGGAACATTTTGAATTAGAGCCTCATGAATTTAACATCAGATATGTAATTTGAAGGGAAATTAACAAATTATCTTTTACAGTGACCTTTAGTCCATCTATCATTGTCAATGATCAGTTATGAATATAGTTATGAAGTTTAAGAAAATTACCTTTCCAGTCACTCTGATATCTATAATGTCAGGATTTCTCCATATTTACAAATAGGTTTGCCAGACTAATACATTTCAAGCTGACCGTATTTCCTACACATTTAGGCATGTTGATTTCAATAGCTTATCTACCTGAAGAGGCCAAATTTCCATTTTTTTCCTTAAATGGAACATTTTTCGTACAAGAGATTTTGAAAACTTTGACCTTAAGCAGTACAAATGAATTCAAGTGGGTTCAATAATATTAAAGATCAAAGTTTAAATGAGGTAAACAACATAGGACACATACTGCTGATATTTTGTCTTACTTAATTTTATGGTTAAAATGGTGTTAGTTTTGCCCATATACAATGTGCAGTAAATTACATTAATGTTAAATGTTAATGTTAGAAAACTGGCTCTTTGTGAATAAATTTTGACTGGTTGGTGTTAGACTACATAAACTGATCTTCACCATCTGAGTATTGGTAGGATGTAGTTATTTCACTGCTTGCGTTATTGTTTTGCAACCTCCCCTTAAAACTGCAAGCTCAAAAGCACTGCTTTCAAAAACAGCAGTCATTACTCAAAATTGATATTCATTTAAATCTGTCTAAGTGTGTATCTGTATGCTAATGGATTAAGATCATTAGCTATTGTACAACTGGAAAACATGAAGTAGCACAATCAAAACAAAATGGTACCACAATATGTTTTCCCCATTACTTTTTCTACCATGTTCCACAAACTGCTCCATGTTTCACTTTAATGGCTTATGTGGAAACAATAGATGCCTGACATTTATGTGGTGAACATGAGAACAGACAGATAGGTTTGTAATCTTTATAAATATTATCCAAGTCATATCAATGTCATGCAGACTTAGGGGAGCTGATGAAACTTTAAATTTGATGGGAATCCTCCTTGACCTTCACTAAATCCCCCATGGCTTACACATCATATATCATGTACTTTGGATGTGGCTGCAAGAATGTGCACTTCAGGTTCAAGGGGAATTTTATAGTGTTATAAACCAATTATAAGTGTTAAATGCCTAAAAAAAAAAAAGATGATTACTATTCTTTCTCCAAAGAACACAAATAACATAATGTACTGGAGTATAGTACATTTTGTAATGTGTTTTTTGCACTGTATATAAATGAACTGAGTAAATGATTAATGACAGACACACTGCAACGGAAAAGTGTAGAGTAAGTGTACGGGGTCCTTCTAATATTCACTGAATTGGGAAATTCTATTTTTATATATATTTTTTTGTTTTGTTTACTTCTCTGACTACAAGACCATACGGGTATCTGTGGTATTTTAAGATGTTGCGCAAGAAGGACAGGTCGACGTGATCCTGGTGTTTTTATTTAGCTATTTTGTCCATAAATAAATTCCAATTCCTACTATGGACCTAGCTCCAAATTCACCCCTATAGCTGCTAACATTGTGAGCTTCATTTGACTAGACCCAAATGCTATGGCTGACATCACACTCCTTTGGTCAGTTTCTTTATACAATCTATGGGAGAGACAAATCTGTCAAGAAATTGGGCTAAAATCCTGTAGTGTGCAACCAGCCATAGGTACGAACAAAATGAAACATGATACACCTTTAAGTTTTTAATCATACATTTGCATTTTTTATATTTTTTTTATGCAGTTTTACTATCAGCATGTCACCTGTATCCACTATTATATGAATGAGCGTTCACTAGTCTGTGTTTTGGTTGACTGGTTCCAATTTATGTTTTTGATTTGCCTTCAGTTAAACATCTCTCACTCTGGCTCCTGCTTATCTGTACCTTCATAAAACATTCATAGCTTTTATAGTAGCTCCATTTCTTTGGGAAATTGGCACCGTTCTGATTTTGACTTTGAGTTTAAATTAACCAGCGACCTGTAGCGTTACCTTCAGTGCAGGTTATATAGCTCATTCTTTAATGTTTTTGACGGTCGGGCATGGCTTCTAATATTCCCATACCAAACTCAGAGACATAATACAAAATCCCTCATTATGTAGCTCCAGGCCACAAGAACAGAAGGCCTCTTGAAGCATTTGATGTCTCGATTCAAAGTATGCATTTAAGGCTGACATTTCTGCTGTATTAAATGAGCACTTTGAGTTGGCACAGGTTCATGTAAGGCTTAGATTTCTTTTTTTTTCTCCAGGCTTTGCAAAAATAGGTTAAATAGGTCTGTACGATTCATCTGTGGTTCATACATAGATTACTTTAATTACATTAACTTTTTTCACTGAGAGAAGCAGGTGAAGCCTTAAGCATCTTTTATGTTTTTATTTTTTCAGGTATTTATAGCTAAAGTATAACATACGTAGACCATTGTTTTACATTTTACAAAACAGGCCCACTCCCTGTTAGAAAAGAGTCTTCAGTGTCATTTCAACAAAACAAGCAGCTTTTCATTAAGTGTTTGCCTGCTGTTTTTTTTTTTTCTGAGCACTTGCAAGACAATACGCTGTTACTCAAGCATGTATGAATCACTCAAAATACAACTCTGAGTAAACTACTAATGAGAGAACACTATTGTAATATAGTTCAAAATTCATTTTTTATTTAATCAAGTATCTGTTGTACACCAACACTGATGCAGAAACAATCGACTGCACCTCTCGATCTTAAGATGAAGCCTCTTAGATGTTTTCCTTAAAAAACTTTATCCAGCTGAATTGATTTAAACTGTTTTTAAGAGGTAATGATTATGTATGTATTATGCTTGGTGGGTTCTATCAGTTTAGATAAGTGAAGTGCTGCTTATTTGGCCCTGAGTTTGTTCAGAATGAGAGAGTTGTATTTTACCAGAACAACCACAGGGTCATGAAGGGGTCCGTCTGTATGCAGAGTTTCCACTTCGTCCTCAACAATGTAATGCCACTCCACACCCAGGTCAATGAAGCTCCTGGACTTAACCTCATCGCCTTTCCCATTCAGGATGTAGTGCCCAGTTGCCTGGTTCTTGATGGCTGCAAGGAGTCACTTAGCATGAGAAACATGCAACATTCACATTCACATTCACATACTTAAAATTTAGAAATGTCAGAAAACCCATAAGTAACTGAACAGAGATACAAACAATGCAGGAAATAAAGGGCAAATGTCTGTTCAGAAAGTGAAAGCCAAAAATTTGAAAATGTCATTCTTCAGTATTGTGTTTGGTGGATTCTGTCTGCTTAAAGTTACTATCTGTTTAACTGTGGCAGCAGCAGCACTAAACAGAGCCTACTAAAACGGTGGTGGTTCTACAAGTTCTCCGTTATAAGAACAGCAGGTTGACTAATGTGTTTGAAGTCAGCTCAGTAATATACTTAAAGGGCCTGTATAACTTTTTAGCTAGAATCCCTAGAATCATTTGTATGTATAATTTAACATTTGGAACAGAGCATTTTGAGCTTGGGAGATGTAGACAGACTAATAATGCAGGTTTACGCAACCATGAGTGAATAAAACAAAATAGAACTCCTTAAATGTTTGAGGATTTAGGATTTCAGTCATTCTCTTGACTGTATTCACCTTCCTGTCTACCACAACTCTACATTGTCTCTGTAAATAGTGTGTGTTTATGTTTAGTTTTTTTGTAAACCTGCCAGGGGCTCTGCAGATGGAAATTATCCCCAGGTTTTATTCTGGCATATTTACATTTGGCTAAATGTTCATTAATATGTTGTTCACCCTTTTCCTAAATAAATCAATCAAATGTTTTTGATGGCTATATCATAGTTAAATGCTCTCAGGAGCTCCATAATAGGACCTTATATGACCAGGTTATTCTGTCAATTGATTTTTTTTTTTTCCTTTTCCTAATAGCACAAACACATATTACAAACTAGACATCTGTGTAAATGACTGTTGTGTTGAGATGTTTGTGCATTAGTGGTTTCTTCACATAAAAAATTTCAAGTGTCCACTGAAGGTAGAAAAGTGCTATATAAATGTGACCATTTACAAGGGTAGAATTCTCCAGGCCCGACTTGTGAAAGAGTGGTTCGTGAAGAATGACATGCAATTTCCACACACTGAAGTCCAGACCTTATCGAGAGTCTTTGAAATGTGCTGCAGAAATCAACAGCCCATCCTGAACATGGGGAGATATATTGCAGTGCAGCACAGAAACATGTAAAAGAATAAGAGAATAATTTGTGTTTTAATCAAAGCTATAGGGTATAATAGTAGTTGTTTTTATATTGTTGAGTTATATTATTTTGGAGTAACCTTAATTCTTTACAGTTTTACATTTTTGGACTCTCTATCCACATCTGGTCCCGTGATCTCTGGTCTTCTCTTATACATTTTGACTCCTGACATTGTCATTGTGATATATACTTTTGCCACTGAGGACAAAAACATAAAATCGACTGATGGAATAACCTGGTCATTCATGTTTGCCCTTTTCCTATAGGTACATACTGTGTGCTACTCTGAGGCTGCAGTAATTGGGCTGAGCTATAAAGCACTAACGCAGTGCCTTATTGTAGAGAAAGGTGTTATATAAATCACATCCACAACATTACTGCACATTTTCACCTTGTCAGAACACCTACAATATGACCACATAATTGAAAATCATTAAAGCTGTACACACAAATACTTTGAAGGAGGCATTGTTCAAATTTCAAAATACACTTTCTATAGACACACTGAGGAGTTAAAGGTGCTGTACCTGATTTTTACACTCTTTTAAACTCTTCCTCACTTACCTCACATGCGAGCATCCTATTTATTCACCACAATGAGTTTATTAGTGCTTTTCACAACTCTCATTGAGCAGAGCTGTGACAGTAAAGGTAACAACATTGTGCATGCTAACATGCACTTCTCCATTATAGGCACAGACTGCATATAGAAGTAGACTAAGGGAGTGTGAAGCCACCCATAGAGTTTGTTCCAGTCAAAAGAATCTCACAATACAAACAGTTATAGGAGAGACTTTGGAGCCAAGTTCCACATTAGGAATAATAATTTATTTAAGGACAAAATAGCAAAATAAAAAACACAGGATCATATAGAGCAGATTCATACGAACATTTTAAGACCAAAATGACGAAGCTCGCAGCAGCAGTTACAGAGAGAGGGGTGACAATTTTTTTCAGTCAATTTAAAACAGTCGAGTTGATGGAGCCGGAAGCGTCTCCATGAACACTTCCAATTCGGAACATAGTGGTAGCGGGTTAGCTATGTCCATTTATATATACAGTCTATGATTACAGGACAATAAAATGCTTACTGATTAGATGCAGACAGCTTCTTGTAAAATATATCTGTACTATGGCAAGACCAGTTTTTCTCAACTACATGGGAAGAAATCAGGTACAGGCCTTTAATGTCTTAATGGGGAGTTACAATACACTTTGTAACACATCTCACCCAACACTGCTCATGTCGTATTGGATGTGAACCCATTACCACTGCGCATGTGTGGTGCTGCAACTGACAAAACAGCTCATAAAAATCCAATATCTCAAATCAATCACCACAGGCAATCGTTGAGAAACTGATCTACATACAAATAGATGCACTGTTTACTATTTAGAGCTGGAATTACCATTTCATATTTTCTTATTTTCTTGAATGACAAAATACAAATGCAATATTCATGCAGGGGAGCTGAATAATGATAACTGGTCATCTGAGGATAAAGAGGGGAGCAGATTTTTAATGATAGTGCTAGTTGCTTTTCAAATATTGGTCATTACATTGGCACTCTGGTTTGCAATTTGAGTTTTGCTTTGTCTTGTTTAGATGAACAGGGTAGATTTGCATTTTAAAATATTATAGAGTTTGCAATGTTTAATGTTGATGAAAAGGTGTCTCCTCCTGTCATGTCATTTGGCAAAGAAAAGACTGATACAGTAGTTGGTCATTACACCAAAGGATCTGTAACATAGAAGGCAATTGCACTTCCAGTCTTTGATGGATGATTTATAACGGACACTTTCTTGTCTCCCCCAGCTCAGTGTGACACATAGAGAAATAGACAGACTTGTGGCTCTGACATAATGTCTGTTAAAATGCTACTGTGCACCAAAGAATTTCATTATTAAACATGATTGTATGGTGATACACTGTATTTGCAACAATTTTATTTTGTATCTGTTCTCAGTCTCCTCCATTATATATATTTTTTTTAACATTATTAAACTTCATCTGTAAAGTTTTCAGCAAAAAGGTGCACTATGTACCTTTTCTATTAGAACTGAATTATTACTTATTATTATATTACTTCAGTCTCTATGGAGACAAGCAGCTGACAACACCAGGCCAATTTAGTGGTCTGGGGTCTCATTTAGAAAACCTTATGTGGAGTACTGACTAAAAGTGTGCGCACGGACACAACATAAACTTCTTCAAACTTCTGCCTCATCTCTAAACACCCTGAGGCACAAGCTCCAGAGTTTTCATTTCTACGTAAAGTTGTTTTATAGATGATAACGTATATATAACGTGGAAAGTACATAAAATGTTTGGGCATACATACACTTTAAAAATGTTTTCCCAGATCTCTGGAGAGATTACCCACTCACAGTAAGAATGAATGTTGCCAAAAAAAGCACATCTTTGAATGAATACAAGATCAATAATTTTAATGACAGACTTTGGGACATTCTAGGGAAAGAAACAACATCACTACAGTCCCTGACAAAAGTCTTGTCGCTTATCCATTTTGTAGAAACAAAAGCTTATAACCTGACTCTAAATTAATCGATTGGTTTTAGAAATGTCTCATATGAAAGCTAAAACCCTCCCAAATTATGCTCAATATACTGAAATAAATTTGCTTCACTGAAGAAAGATCCTCCCGAGCAGTTGTCTTGCGGGGTCTGCTGGACCTGGGCTTGTCAAAAACGTCTCCAGTCATTTCAGATCTTTTTCTTATTCTTTGTACTTGATGCTGAGACACATTGAAGGTGTCAGCCACCTCAGCAGTGGATCTGGTCTTCAGCCTCTTGATAATTAACGCTTTGGTCTCAGGGTGGATCTTAGGCATGTTGTCAGAGGTCAAGTTGCAGTTGATGTGAAGGTCTGGTGTGCTGGGGTTCTTTTTATACACACCCACTAACTGATTGATCAGTAACTGACCACAGGTGAGGCTGTAATCTAGGATTGGGTGCATCATATGACAAGGCGACAAGACTTTTGTCTTGCCAAAATCTGACCTTTCTGTGTTCATTAAATGATCAATCTTTCTTCAGTGAAGCAAATTTATTTTAGTATATTGAGCATAATTTGGGAGGGTTTTAGCTTTCATATGAGACATTTCTAAAACCAATCGATTAATTTAAAGTCAGGTTATAAGCTTTTGTTTCTACAAAATGGATAAGCGACAAGACTTTTGTCAGGGACTGTATGGAGATGGAGTCCTTGACCCTCCATCAGAAAAATTACATAGTGCACCTTTAACTCACCATGATCAGTAAAGCTTGTCAAACTTCAAGTAAAGCTTATATTGAAATACATTGCAGTGGTCTCTTTATTTTCTTCCAAAGCTGTAGGTATTTTAATCCATAACCCTGAGAGGATACGGAGGGGGTCCCATCACAATGCCAACTTATCATTAAAATATCTAGCGTGGGACAAATTACAAATAGAAAGGACATAGTGAAAGAACACAGAGGTTGCTCCAAACTTGAAACCAAAATGTCACTAAAAGTGACACATAATTACTATCATTACTGCTGTGAATGTGTATGCAAAAGTGCTTCCTGATTTGGTTCACAGACATCCTCCTCTTATGTTAGTTAAATGGGATGCAATGCGTGCCTACTTTTCCTCTCTTGCTTTATTCTATTTGCTTCTCATTTGCAGAAATAAAGTGTCCAAAGTATCCAGAACGTGCTTTTACCTTGGAAAAGTCTTTGAAAACTGCATCAGAGCGATCGATGGTGACCTGTCTCACCTCCAGATGCTGAATAAATCATTTTTTCCTCAAGCCAGTAATATAACAAGCATCATAAAGATTAACCACTGCCTTCATGTCTTCAATCACCGGCCTCCAGACTTTATTGTTTACAAGGAACAAAAGCATTTTTCTGATTTTCTATCATTTTGTCAAATATTTTTGAACAAATAAAAGTTGTTTGTGTTGTACTCCCTGTGCTTTAGAAGCCCCTTCAAAATAAAGTGTTGTTGGTAATTAAATTCAACATGGGACAGAAAGTGATAGATAAAATTACTTTAATGTTGATATTGTTCAATGTTTTCATTAATAAAATAAAATACAATTTCATTACGCTACTCTTTGTAATTATCTCAATCTTCTGAGAATAACATACTGTGCATGATACTGCTTATCCACTGTCCAACAGGGATCATTGTAGTATTGTGAGAAAATGTCACATTTGACACTTATATATTTCTTGAATCCAATCAAAAAGTAGCCTATTCAAAGGTGCACTACATATAATCTTTCTGGTAGAGGATTTGCCATCTGCTTGTCACCATGGAGATGTTATTTTTTATGGCAGCATGGCATTAAACGTATCAAAGACAAGCAAACAATGTCCTCAGACAAAGTTCCAGGTCAAATGTGTAACTAAAAAAACAATGAATAAATATAAGCTAGATACGTTTAATGCCATACTATGGAACATTCTATGCAAAGCAATAATGTTTCCATGGAGACAAGCAGGTGATGGGTCCCCATTGACTATATATGCTGCAGAAACATTTTAAACATCAAACTTAAACTAAACTAAACTAAACTAAATTAACATACTTGGTTAATTAATTACCTGACATAGCTAAAGATTCAGTGATGAACAGCTATGTGTCCTAATAACACAGTGTACGTGGGATGTGCCATAAGTCAGCATGACCTGGAACCCACTTTGGCAGGACATGTTGAAAAAGAGCACAAATCTATTTTTGCGTGGCCACACTTACCCAGAATCTGAGGAGAAGACTCGTGCTCTTGGAGGATCACATGTCTAGCTCCCGGGGGAATGTCAAACATCTTAAGTACACCTTTTGCCAAGTTTGCAGCAGCAGCAGGAGCAGTGGAAGGAGGCGCAGGTGGAGGAGGTGGAGGAGGAGGGGGGGTTAGGGGAGATAAGACAGAAGCAGGTTAAGCATGTCAGTACTTCAGTGTTTGCAGAGGTGGACATCACACAGATTCTCTTTACTTTGCTCTAAGAAGTTCCAGGAAGAAAAACATTACGTGTAAGTGGTCTCCTCGCTCTGTCTACAAGCCTCCAGGATGTGGTTAGATTGAAACACGCTACAAAGCCTTTTTTTTCATTCACAACCAGATATCAAACTAACCCCAAGATATTTTTCACAACTTCAAAACATGAACCCAAAACTTCAAATTTTAACTTTGCCTTTAACTTTACCTAGAAGTGAATGAAAACAGCTGTTAGCAGTGTTTCAACACAGAATGGAAAAAATAGTTAACTACATGATCGCAAAGCGCTTCATCGATCTGGGATGTCCACCACTTGCAAACCATACTGGACTCACCCAGCAGGTTTCTAGAATCTTCAGTTTCATTTAAAAACACATTACGAGCTCCTTTAGGCAAGAAAAAGGCTCCTCTGATCTTCCCTTGAAAATGAAATACATTCATTAGTTTAAGTGACAGTATCTTAAAAACTTGGTTTCAGAACTTGCTGCAAAAAACATCACCTATAACAAGACAAGTGCACATTTAATTGGTGTCATAGGAACAAGAGTAATTGTCTCTGGGTGACATGGCAAACAAGAAAAAAATCTTTCTAATTAAGATTCAGTATAGGAGAGAGATAATGACTGCCTTTACATTTGACAGGCAGACCCAACAGCTCATCCCCTCCTGGAGCATATGTGAATAGCCACTCATTATACATTCCTCTGTGCCGCTGTCAGGTTATAGAAGGTAGCAACGGGGGGCAGAGCAATGGCACAAAGGACAATCTCTATTTTGGATGATTGAAAAAATAAAAAAAATACACTGTGCGTTTTCGTGACAGCAGGCAATTTGGGCAAGAGGTGTTGTTTTGAAGAAAGCTGTGCACTTTTGATAGCTTAAATTGTGTGTAAAGGCTGTGAGCAAGGAAAGTCATTCAAACTAAGAAAAATAAACTAAAATTAGAAGGACTTTGAGAGACCTCTGCCACAGTACTGGTACTAAACATTGTTTATTAACAAACAGCAGAAAACTCTTTACTGTCATGTTGCTATGGACAGTGTTGGCGACTAACTGAACACATGTCCTGGAAATACGTATTCTGAAAGCAAATTTTTAATACCTGTATTCCAGTACAGTTATTTTTGATGGAATTCAGAATACGGTTACTTTCTTAAAATCAAAGGAAGCCATGACAGTACTTCATCATGTAATTTTGGTTTTGAACTACACAGTATTAGTGTGAAAAGAAAAAAAAAAAGAAAACACAGCTAGGCGTGGATGAGTGATTTTTTCTCTAATTGGACATAAATTGATGCATAGCAAAAAAACAAAAACAAACAAACAAAACAAAAAGCATGTCATATGTCAGGTTATTTACTCTACAGTATAATATAATGCTACTCAGTATAAAAGAATTCCAAGTAACCAGAATACAGTACTCTGATTGGCCATGTATCGAAATACATTATTCTGTAACACAGTACATTTTTAAAGTACTTTTCCCATCACTTGCTACAGATTATATAAACTACATGCAGAAAGTTAAAAAAATCTATATTATTGTCTTATCGGAAGACTTCTCATTATTTTGTATTTTCTGGTTATTCCCTTTGAGACTAACTAAAGCTAAAATGGCTGCTTTTCCAATACAGCTATTTTTCATTTCACTAATGACACTAATGCTTTGTAAGTTTTTCATCTTGGGACTACAAGCAATCAGTGCATTGATTTACATGCACCAGATGACTCACAACAAGATAAAGTAATGTAAATTCATAGGTCTTGTGCATTTCTCTGCTATATAAATATAATCTATGAGACCTGTGGATCAGTATGTTATATTTTGGACATTTTCAATTGCAATATTGATCTAAAAAAAATGTTGCTGAATCCTATGTTTCTCGATGTTTAAGAAAAAAATATGAGAAAAATAGAACTAATAAGTACAGAGCAGAGGGCATGTACTGAGGGGCAAGGATTAAGAGGATTTTTAGAAGGAATAATGGCTTGATTGCTCAAACCTGCATGAATCACTCTGAATACAACTTTGAAAGGGTAAATGAGAAGGGATATCATGGTTAAAAGCTCTTGAAAGTGGATTTTGCATAATATGTCTCATTTCAATGCAGAATTTTTTGCAAAAAAAACCCAAAACATTTTCTCACCCAAAACACTCTATAATAAAGACAGGATCACAAAAAATCTAGGTCTAACCCATGACAAACAATGATGATACATGTATAAAAGAATTAAACTTAAAGGGCCATTCTGTAACTTTTCTGGTGGAGGGTCTGTCACATGCTTTTCTCCGTGGAGATGTTATTGGTTTGTCTGGAATGTTTCACAGTATGGCATTAAACCTTTTTATTATGATGGAGACCAAACTAGGCCAAGTTACAAGTCAGATCTATGCAGAAGCAACTCACGCTCACAGTCAGAATGTTTTTTTTAGGTATTTTTTTACTGAGTAAATGTAAGGTACAGCTGTTTAATGTCATGCTGTGGAACATTCCAGGCAGCAAAATGGCATATCCACAGAAACAAGCAGGTGATGGACCTCCAACCAAAAAGTAACACCTTTAAAGCAAGAAGATACAGTAAACTGGCCAGACAAACTAAGCCAGAACTAAACAAAAACAGTATTCAGTCAGTTGTTTGGCTTTTGCAAGAAGGAGCTGGTGCCTTGGCAGAGGTCTTCCAAAACTTGTTATGAAATCACCACATTTACTCACCTTTTTTTGCTCACAGCCTTTAAAGAGCCGATATTATGCTATTTCCTGATTCATGTTATAATGTTGTTCCTTCATCACAAACACGCCTGGAGTTGTGATTTGTTTCATTTACACATGTTTGTAACACACAAACCCTGCTTATTTAGACTGAGTTCTTCTCTCAAGTGGAAAACACTTGATTTCAGCCCAAGAATTACCAGCCTCTACTGAATTAAAGGTGAAAGGTAGCTGTTAACTTGAAAAGGATTACTTAAACATGTGTGAATGAAACAAAGCACAACTCCAGGTATGTTTTTGATGAGGTAACAACATTATAGCAAGGCTTAAAGCACGCAAAAGTCAATTCTGCGTAATATAGGACCTTTAAATCCCATCTTATACACAGTGCAGTTTACAGCAATAGGGGTTTTCCATTATAAAGTATCAGGATCACTGACCGCAGATACTTTGTTGGAAAACTTTGGACACTTGACAGAGTAATGAACTGTGGAGTCTGACCTAAATAGACACTTAATTAGTAACATGGTGCAAGAAAACAGCAGCTGGTATCACTCATGTGTCTACTGTACAGGCTTCTACAGGGTTAGACATTCAAACGCACTACAAGCCGTCAGCTGCACACAGAAAACTAACACTAAGATACATCAGGAACACTGGATACTTGCATATAGTATTCTCCAATACTGAGGGTTCTTTTTGGGCTCGCTTGCTTAACTGTTTTCCTGTTAAGAAAAGGTGAACGAGGGAAAAGAATGATTGTAGATGTTAAAGAGATGACACAAAGCCTATTAAGCCTTTTTTTTTTTTTTTGAAGAAAATGGAATTTAGTTTAGCATTTCATTACATGAGTGGAGATTAAATTGCAGGGTGTAGAAAGTGTTTTGCAGCTGAATTGATACAAATTATGATCCATGTAATGGCTGGAAGCTATTCACTACAGTCTTGTGAGACTGTTTTAACAAAGCAGGACCACAAGGTTCTCTGGACTAAAAACTGCTTGTGTTTGGTAAATATAGTCCTCGTTATGTGCAGTTTTTAATTAAGCAGGAAAAACTTGGTTAGTACGAATTATGACTCACCATCAACCTCTTAAACTGTAAATATCAGAATCTATTCATTATCACTCAAGGTTTTTACCCTAAAATGTTAATCAATTTATATTGTACATTGTAAATAAAATATATATATATATATATATATATATATATTATATATATTATTATTTAACAGGAGAACAGAGTATTGGTTTTTGAAATAAACAAACATACAGAAAAAAACTAAACTAAACTAAAACATAATTGTGTCAAAAAATATAGACATTTATTTCCAAAAAAATAATAATAATAACTTTTTTTTCGTTTGTCAAATCAATGAAGATTATAAAACTGGGAATACAAACCTTCAGATAGCCATTTTAATTAAAACATATCCGGATGAATAAAGTCCCAAATTAATTAATACATTACTATGCAATAGCGTGTTTAATTATTACTGATAAATGAGCTCTTTATCTGATGTATTTTGGAGAAACAGCACAGACAGACAGACTCTACTGTGGGCTCAGTTATTGAATCTCAATAAAAATGCAGCTATAAATAAATGAGAAGAGACTGGAGGGGTACATGTGCCCCAGTGCACTACTACTACATTAATTACAACATGCCTGAAATGTAGTATTAGGAAGCAGTGATGGTGTAGCTCTGTGCCATTGTTAAAACTATAATAAGCTCTATAAAACACACAAAAGCAGACCCTAAGGTGACCTTTTTAACTCCATGTTCACTGAAGGAGAGAAACAGAGATGTTGGATGAATCTGCAAAGCGATAGTGCACATTGTTCTCTGACTCAGAAATAAGTGCAGACCTATACCACCTTATTGAAATAACTGATGCAGAAAATTTAGAAAAATCCAGGTTTATGCTTTTATGCAAAACTTTGAGAAATTTACAAAGTATGTCGTTGCTAACCCTGGTCTGGCATAAACAATTAAATCATTAAAGGAATGATCAAACATATTAGAGTGTAAAGCTATTCTAGCTATTTTTAATGTCTCATGTTGAAGTTTGAGCTTTTGGCACACACTTTTTCCAACGTGTTTTTTACTGCAAATGGTAAATAAAGTAATGTAACCTAATCTAGGCTTTTTTCATGAATGCATAATCTGCATTTTAATTTGGTACATGGCTATAGTGTGTGAGTAAAGATACCTGGGTGTAATGGACTATAGCCAAGCAGTGTGCATATCAGGTTATTCAAAGTGCATTGACTTGTGGAAACAGTGAGGTCGGAGAGTAAAGCTGCTGCTGTTCAGCACAACAGAGATGCTGCTGCTGACAACAAACAGCTCAGGTTGGGTCCTTATCACTTTCTTCTGACAGGTCCAATGGATTCTCTTAAAAACATCCCTGGAGTGATATTATAATAATGTTGTATATGGTATACGAGTGTGTGAGAACACCCAGCAGAAAATAGGTTGCATTCATGCTCTAGAAATATATTAAAATAATTTCTGATGCAGGGCAGATACCTATATAACTCTACAAGAGATGATTTAGGAAGAAATAGCCAATGACCCACAAATGTTGAACCCAGTGTCCAGTGTCCACCTTTGAAACATTTTCTAAGCCTTGACAAGAATCAGATATTTGGGGTTGAATAATGGTATCATTTTCTGAAGGTATAATGAAAAAAATATTTCACTTTTGTATATTTATGCAAGACAATTAATTTTGTGCCAGATTTAGTTTGACATGGAACCAGCATTAACCATAAACCAAGTAAACAAATGTGCATTCTGACAGTTAAACAGCAAATTCCACGAGAGAAAACTGTGTGTGTAAAATGTGTATTCTCCTCAGTGAACCACATCTTGCTTCTATTCATTCAATATTTTTGAATAACATAATTGAAAATATATAGGACCTTGACTTCTAGTTCCATTTGTAAAAGGGAATTGTTTTGTTCAAATACTCTTAAACACTATCACACTAATGAGGAGCATTTTAAATCTTGAAAAGACATAACCCTGTTTACTTTTTAACCAAGACTAAAACAAAAAATATATTTTAAAGTATGAGGCAATAAAGAAGAAGATGGACAAGCTGGTTCACCGTTTAGCTGTGTGCCAGCATGGCCTAGCTAGCACAAGAATTGGCTAAAATCAAATAAAATTAGAAAATATAAAACTAGGCTAAGGGCAATCAATCCTTACATGTAAAAAGTTCAATTAGAAATGGTCAATTAAGTCCAATCAGTGCAGTCTTGTGTGTGATTGCTAAAAATAATTTCTGCAAGGATGGAAGAATACAGCACTGACATTTAGGAACACATCATCATTACGAAGCAGTTTTTTGACATAAAAAAATACAACAGTTTAGACACAAACCGTTTGCACTTAATATACAACAGTCTAGTGTAAACAGTGAGCTTTGAAAATAATAAATTAAAGATACAGAAATACAAACAACTACACGCATGGAATCCGTCTTACCTGCTTTCTTTGGCGTTCTGGTGAAGGTCCCTTTAACTGTGCGGCAGTGAGAGTTGTCCCCACCACACACACCACATTTGTCTTCTAATTTGTTGGAACCAATCTCTCTGTCACAACCAACTTTCTGGAAACAGGAAAACAAATATAAATGACATTTGTAATTTATATAACAGTATACTGTATATTTAATGATGTTTATGGTTGGGTGGGGGGTATATTTGAGAATATTGTGTGGGACACCTGGAATTACATTTTAGCATGAATTCATTTTAATATAATAGAAAGTTCCAGGTAAAAATTCACCTCAGAGAAGTGTTTTGTGTTTATGCCTGGGGTTTAGTCAATGAATGCTGAAAAAGTAAATTATTCATTAAAGGCTGCTGATCTGCCAGTACGGATGGGTCCAAGAGTTCAAAATGTGAACCTGTATTTGCATACTCACAGTAGAGGTGATAACATTAATTTGGCTGCTGCTGCACCATGTAAATAATATTCCTCAGATATTAGGTCAGGTCATACAGAGTCAAAGTCACAATGCAGTACTTTGAAAATGCATTTCACAAGTTATGTGAAATATAGATTGGTATCATGTGATGCTGTAGAATTCTAAAATGTCTATAATAAAAAAAATATGGTAGAATTATGGTAGAATATGCCTTTTAACTGTAAATACTAATCTAATCCATATAATATAAAACTAGCACTGTGTTCTCTGCTAGCACAAATGAACTAAAGTAAAATCATTTTCTCACAATAGCTTCAAATGTTCAATCACGCTGACACAACTGTAAGGACTTGAAGGTATAATCTCAGTTACATTTAAGATTGTGAATCCAGTCTGTAACCAAAATGGTTAGTTCAACATTTGTGGATTTTTACTTTTAGTTTTTTTGTTTAGTTTTTATAAAACAGTGAATCGTGCTGAGATATAGATTATAGACATCCTCCTCTCCATGTGAAGTCACATTCTCTGATGTTGTGAATGAAACCCATTACGGATGATGGTAATTCACATAAAAATAGCCCATACTTTTTATGTAATAGCTTGTGCAATTTTAGATAACAAAGACACATGAGTGCTGTCCTTACCACACACTCTCCTCGCACACAGATACTGTAGGCATCTTTGTATGAGCACCGTGTCCCATCATGCACCAGCTGCTTCATGTATGCCACATCCCCTGTCTGCTTCGACTGGCAGTACAGGTGACACCTCTTATTGGCTTCAGGGATAGAAAGATTGTAGAGTTATTTCAAAGGAAGACATGTTTTCAGATGATTAAAAATTAATGTATTCATCTTCTACTGCATACTCCCACAAAATCTTATTCCTTGATGATAGTGCTAATGGTCAGATAATCTTGCTGCATTGACAGACAAAAAGTGTCTCTAAAATTCATTAATTACACTGAACTAAATGTAGTTCAGCGGTAGACCAATCAGAATCCACAACTCCTAAGGCTGGTTGTATTAATTTCACTTTTATCATTATTATCATCATTCCAGGTTAAAAGAAAACATAAGGGTTTAAAAAAAAAAATCATGGCATCTTTTTAGCAATGCTTTTAACCTTTGGATATGTTTTTTGCATATCCTGCTCCATTACAAAACCATGTGGAGTTTTTAAAAAGTTCTTTTTGAAAGGTCTGCACTGAGCATGGGCAAAAGTAATATAAGGTAAGAAGAAAATAAAGCTAAAAAGCCTGGACCTCGCACTAGGTCACAACTTAAGAGTGTATTTATAAATTAACTTAGCAGTGAGCCTTGTCAATTTGGTCTTAAAATGTTCATATTAAACCTCTCTACATGATCCTAGTATTTTAATAAATTCCTATTCCTAATGTGGAACTCGTCTCCAAATTCGCCCCTATAAATGCTAGCCTCATGAGCTTCATTTGATAGGAGCCAAATACTATGGGTGACGTCACAGTCGATTTCTTTATACAGACTGTGGTCACAATCGATAAAATTTTTCACAAGGAGGAGAAGAAGAAGAAGAAGAATAGAGGCAAAAAGAGAGGCAAGGAGTCACTGGTATACTCATAACCAATGGTGCTCTAGCGAAAGGGTTCAGTTTAATTAGAAAAGGGACTTATTTGGTTGTGTCTTGTCCTCCTGAAATAAAGCCTCTATCCAAGCCTGATATTTGTCTTCTTCTAAATGGATAGAGAGAACTTTGCTTTTCAATATTTTCTTCAAGATATACAGTACATTCAAGTTATGCAATGTAACAAAACTGTTGACATTTCTTGAGCTCACCGTCCGGATGTTCATAGGGAAGCCAGTGGTGTTTGGCATTTTGAAATTCAAAATGGGAGTTGCGCAACTGGCACTGCTGTGCACGGAAATCCTCAAAGTGCTTGGGGCAGTCCTCCGTGTGGCAGAGCTGGTACTCATAGTTCAGTCCTGGACAGTCTTGGCCGCCATTGGAGGGCCTTGAGAAAAACAACATATATAATGTCATAACCTGCATGACTAGTAATGGCCAGAAACACAGTGAGTAAACAACCAGGTACTTTGCAATTAAAGATCTCAGAAAATAAAAGCGTTAGAGTAAGATTCAGTCTTTTCTAATAGTCGATGTTATGCTTTGAGAGAAGTCAATCATCTCTCAGTAAAAGCTTTTGGAGCAGAGTTCAGACTGTAAAGAAGGAACTCTGACAATTTTGATGGCAATGATTAAAGGTCTGCACTGTTTATGTTAATGTATGGAAATTACAGCAGTACTGAAAGCCATTTTTATTTGCTTTTAAAAAGAAAAAAATCAAACTGAACAGAAATTGGGATCAATCAATGTGCAAAAAAACAAAACAAAAAAAAAAAACTTGATTTGTTTTTTGTCATAATGACCAGTCCTCCAGTGTTAATAATTGGACTCAGAGGCATAAAAAATTCATTCATCCATCTTGTAGTTTCTTTCATTAGCCCCTGTCTGCACTTCTTGAAAATGGGAACTGTACTATTAGATATCTCATTTTAATCATGCAAACATAATGACAAATCAATTGCAGCTCAAAAAATGATTTTCTTTTCCAAAATAATTATCATCAGGTTTTTTTTTAATTCATCAGAAACAATAAAGAATAGAAATAATAGCTCTCTTGCATTCTAATTTCCAACCTAATGATGCCTCACAGTATTATATAAGCACTCATAAATTATGCAGAGTAGCGTGTGTGTCACTTACGCAGGATTATTACACTGCCTTGTCCTGAACCGAACCCCAGTTCCACATGAGCGTGAACACGAACCATATTTGCTCCATGAAGCCCAGGCCCCGTCTTGTTTGACCTGATTAGGGTTCTTCCACATGCAGTGACCTTTGTAGCACCACTGATGAGAAAGAATTATGAAGGAGAGAGAGTGAGACTAAGCAAAGCTGAGAAAAGACTGGAAAACAATGTCATAAAGACAGAAGGGAGCATTTCACTGACTTTTCCAGGAGCACACTCAGTCCCATCGAGAGGCGGGCCCTTCTTGGTTTTGCAGAAGTATGGGTTGTCAGGGTGACTGCACCAAAGCTGTTTGCAGGGGTCAAAGGTACGGAACTGCAACAAGGAAAATACATAGGCTTCAGACACACTCTTGTCATTGTTCCTGTTTTGAAGAACACATGCTTTTGGCTACTATTCTTGGGTTTCAGGCATTTCTGATTTGGAGGATTTAGCATGGCAGTGGTCCTCCTTTGTTGTAACAGTAACACAATAACACTATTCAAATCAAAATAATATATCTTTGGGGAATGTTCCTCACAAATCGTTCAAATTCGGAGATGGTTTTTGCTTGCTGCTTTACAGTGAATCACCATAAATGGCATCACAATAAAGGGACAGACTATGCTGATGTACTTGCCTATAAATGCTGCAGTTCAGGGTATTTTTCAGTTGCGCCAGAAAGACTATGTGTAATGTATCACAGTTAAAGAGAAAAAAAGAAGGCTCCTTTAAAGACAAAACAAAACTGTTGAAAACTCGCTGAAAGTATGATGTGGTATGGTATATTTCCATTCATTCTACTTCACTTATATCTTGCTCAGTCTATTTGCCTGAAATCTTTAGACCAACCTTTCTGGCCCTAATAATACATTCCAATTCTTCTTACTTATTTATTTTGTTATTTGAAACATTTTAATTTGCCTGCATGTCTTGATAGTAATAAAAGAAATGATCAAGAAGCTGCCAGGAACTGCATTTGCAGTCAGAGTTGCTTCAGTATGATGAAATGATGATATTATCTCTTCATACGCCATATAGGCTTGCACTGGTACAAAGATGGAATAGATAATGTATCTCTTCGCCTTTTCACATTTGACCATATAAAAAAAAAATCGTTTTGCATTTACGCAGAAAATCAGTCTTTACCAATGTTTGTTCAAAGATTACTGTAACTGTAATAAGCTGTAATAATATGTTATTCTGAAGTTTCACAGTCGCCAAACTTTTTGTCACAAGATAAGAATGAGAAATGATTGCTCTAATCAGCGTGATTGTTTAAGTGGGAATAATGCATGCCTATGGTGATCTCTAAGTGCTTCTGGGGAAAATTCAGGCCAACTGATTGGAATCATAAAACATGTCATCACATAGCTCCTTTATTCAGATATAGATTACATTAGATTTATGGCCAGTGAAATCATGTGATTGTATCCATGGTGCCTCTCACATTTCTAGTCTAACTCTCCTGACAAAGGCTATACTAACAAGAGCGTTCTACATTAAATGATCTTTAGTTGTTTAAGTCTAAAGATAGTGGTTCTTAAATTGGTACAGATGTATACTTCAACATTATCCCTCCTTGTGGTTTAAAATGGCTAAAGGCAGGTATAGGTGTTTTCAGACCTGGTTCTATTTGATTCAGTCCTGGTGTAGTGCTTTTAATAATCATATTAAATACAATATAGCACATTTCTGACCATCAGAGTTGGATTATGATTATGTGCCTTATGCTGTTGATTCTGTCTGTGGTGGTAAGCTTCTTCTGTTGCCACAGTGCCCTACTCTCACACACACCACATTCATACTGTGATGAAGTGTTTTGCCAAAGGACACAATGACTGTATGCACTAGAGCCACTGCTGCCCCACAGCACCTGGAGTCTCTCAACCCACTACTAACCTGGCACAACCCTGCTTAATTTTTGTTTAAATTTCAGTTGTTTTATTTTTCACACCAAAGAATATATTTGCCAAAAGATAATTAGCTCTGCGAGAATTATTGCGTATTTGTTTTGGATCACAAACAGATCAAGTTCCCAAACTACAATTAAGAAAAGTAAATGCCCCAGTTGTAAATGTAGTATTTCAAAGAACAATAATTGCTACACGCAAATTGTCACATTTTAAACTTGTAATTTAAAGCATTAAGAAAAGAAGGTCAGTGATCATTAAGTCTGGCCCAGTTTATGCGGGGTAATATTGTTTTTATTATTCTCCTTATTAAACTGGGGGTGGTTAAAGCACTTCCAAGAACCTGTGGCTGCCTTCAAACTGAGAAAATCAGGGAGGACAGTGATGTACAGCGTATACCCAGAAGATGGAATCATTTTCATCTTGCAGTTGGGTTAATCTGTCAGTTCTGGCAAATCTCAAATGAGCGTTGTGATTGCCAGCCATTCCACTTGGGTCATTTAAGTAGATGAATGTCGAGATATGGCACTTCCCATCACTTTGAGCTCCTGCACTAATAAGATGAATAAAGAAGGTATATAGTTGAATGAAGCTGAATTTGTTAAAATACACACAATTGCCCTATTTTATGTTTCATTATATAAGTGTATTTTTTATTACTTGATATAATTAGTTGTAGAATGGGATCCAATGAATACTTTTCAGATTTAAATGTACTTACAAGGTTACCAAAAGCTTAGGTATGCAGTATTTAGGAATGGACTGCAATATTAATCGGGCCATCAATATGACCTCCATTTTTAATGTACGTGCACAAGATTTTGACTTTGTAATAAAATACTTGTCATAAAAGACTAAACTTAGAGTAAAGTCTTTTATGCTCTAAAATCAACACCATTTCTTATTTGTCAGAAAATGTGGCACTAATCAGAGCCGACAACAATAGAACTTTGGAGTCATTATAGCCAATTATAAGCTATTTTAGAAGTTGAGGTAAATAACCCCCATATGCCCACCTTCAAGTTATAATGAACAATGTGAGCAACTACAGGGCATTCTCAAGTCAGGTGAAGGGAAGGCCTATTTTGGCAGAATTTGCATCTTCTCCCTGTGCCTGGCGCAATTCTCCAGTTAAGATAGTCCAAACCAAACCTGAGGCTGCCCACTGCTCCTTAGGTTAACTTTAACTTTAGGCAACAACATTCCACTGCAAGGTCGAAGATGTAGTAAATATTTCAGAAAAGTGCAGTTTTGCTTCATGAAATTTAAAATATTTTTCCCTGTATAAACACAGAACAAGTACATATATTCTTGGGAGTATGAATCTGTGGTAAAGAGACATATGAACAACCATGGTGTATCCTTAATACTAAATGCACACACAAATTCCTATGCCTATGCAGAGAACTACTCTGGAGAAAAGACCTGTATCTCACGGGCGAAAACCAAAACATGAAAACAGCAGAGATGGCTGTACACTGGCAACAAATAAACCAAATGACCTTTATAGGATAGACACAAAACAGCCCTGTCAATCATCACAGTCTATTCTCATTCTGCCCCTGGGCTTTGCAGAAGTGCCTCAAGCGAAGAACAACAACTACAATGGTCTTTTAAAGGGAACCTCAGTAACCTAATGCCATTAATGAAAATGATGTTTGTGAGCCTTAACAAAAACACTATTCCCCATCTATTCCCCATACATCTGATAGGCAACTTCAATAGTATTTCAACAGTGTGTGATGTACATTGAACCTCTCTCAGCATAGGTTTCATTACTGTGAATATGACAAACTGAAGCTGCAGTTTCTCAATAGTAAGCGGTCTTAAGACTGTACTCACAGAGGTGCAGATCTTGTAGCCCACCCCAAAATCAAAGCGACACTGCTCGTCCATGGAGTAGTTGATTCCAGGGAGTTCAGGAAGCTGTGGCCATTCATGTTTGAAGGGGTCATCCAGCAGGCACTCATATGTGCTGTGAACAAGGAGTGAACAGACAAATACAATATACGCAAATAGGACTTCAACTGATAACTATTTTAGTGGTCATCCAGTCAGTAATTCTAATTTTATTTTTTATTAGTTGACCAGTCAAGCCATTATATGTCTTTACAAATTGATTTATTTATTATATATTCATTTATATCCAATCCTATCCAAACCACTTTACTTATATAGCATATTTCATAAAGAAAACAGTTTCCAAAGTGCTGTACAATATAGATAAAACAATGCAATGAGACTATAAAGTAAAGCTCTGTTTAACTTTACTCCACATCCTTGATAAGACAAGAAAACTAGTAAAATAAAATAAAAGCAAAAACATCAGTAAATAAAAAGGTAAAAAACATATAAATAAATAAAAGACAGAGAGGACCACATAACTCACATATATATGCATAGTAAGGTAGATATATTCTGATTGAAGGCTCTCAGATAACGTTTGCAAAATATTATATTATTGATTAAGTGTTTTTTTTCTTTTGTCCTATTTTGATGTTATTATGTCGCTGTCTTTATTAGAAAATGTAGAGGACCTATGCAAATGTTCTGTGAGCTTATATTCATTTGTTACAGTATTCCTGCTACATAAGAATGAATGGAGCTGTAGCCTGAGTCCAAGGTTGGGTGCACCACGAACATTGGCCAATTAGCTGCAGGGCTGGCATACATCATTCACTAGTTCTTTCATTAGATATGGCACACATTCAGGGCTTGACTGTGGAAGGAAGTCACTGAAACAGAATCTGATAACAGAGTAGGAAATCTAACCCCAACCTATTATTTTGCCATGTATTTTATTATTTGGTGTATACTGGTTGATATGAGACCACACTGTAATTGCTCTGACAGATTACATAAGGGCCTCCTCCAGTTCAGATGGATTTCCAGCCCACCGAGGTTTATTTGTTATGTTGTCATTTAGAGAGAGGAAGTATTATGTAATGTTATAAGGACTTTTACTATTTATAATAACAATCACAATAGTGCAAATGTCACTGTAATGACAAGCCTATCAGCTTATTATTGAGTCAAACAAAAAGTTGCAAAAATCTGGAACATTATTTTAAAAGATCTATTATTTTTTCAGTATGGTATTGTAAATAATAATGTAGAAGTGCTTTGCCTTCTACTATGCACTAAACATTTTCAACAAAGCACTTAGAATGAACAAAAAATAACTAAATAATTTAGTTTTGAATAAATGTGCATTGCATCACTCTACATTGACAGGCAGTTATCATGTTAAGTATTTCAAGTGCAGTACGCATCCTGGCTGGACTGTCTCTTTTACCCTGAGGCATATGTTTTTGTGGATAATATTACACATACAACAGAACAGCTGTTGTCGCCTATAGTCCAGCCCCATAATACTGCTGTAACAGTTTTATACATTAGGATATTGATTTTCCCGTGCCATGGACCAACTTCCAATAGCCCCGAGCTGCTCTAAAAACATTACAGTGTATGACAATTGATTTCACAGAGCCATTGTCGTCGCCTTTGATGCACTGTCAATACAAGCCTGTTCCCGGAGAGATGAAGTTTGCCTGACAGAAGATTGATTATGTTACAATGGAGTGAAAGTAAAAGCTGATCAGCTGCTGTTCCCATCCACTGCAGTGTTAGTATGTCTATTGTCCAGTGAGACTATTTGAAATGCACAGATCATACCATTCTCTGGCTAATGCAATTTGTGCTTTAATGTCTTTTCTCGTGCATACCCGGATAATTGGATTTTATTGCTCTGTAGAAATGCAATCACTTGCATTTGTTACACTGAGAATTATAAAGATTTTGCCACATTCATAATTTTAGATATAAAGATGCACTATGTAACAGTTTTTCTATTGTAGTTGGGTCTGCCACTCACTTGTCTCCATGGAGATGTTATTTCTGTGTCAGAATGTTCCACAGCACAACATTCAACACATCTATCTTGATTTTAGTCAATTAACAGGTGTTTTTGTTACTTAAAAATAGGTTTAGCAGGATCACATCAATCATTACAAGATATGCAAGTTTAATGCCAAACTGTGGAACAATAACAATAACATCTCCAGGGTATCTTTCCAATTATGTGATGGACCCTCTACCAGAAACGTTGCATACTACCTTCAGTGTGATACAAGAAATAAGTTATTTGAATATTTAAAACTTTTATGGAAATGGGTCTTATCTGTCATATTCACAGATGTACAAAATGAGACGAATTAAAAGCATTGTAGAAGAGCTGTGGTTCATCCTGACCCTGGGGATTTGCAGCGCTATGGAAACGGGGTCAGAGGGAATGGAGATGTGCTATTACAGAGTGGCACAGATGTGAACTCACTGTATGTATCGCCTGAGCTCCTGCCCGCTGCACATGGACCAGTGGTATCTGTGGAAGGCCGCCTGCACCAGAGGGGCCATCACACTGCCCATAGCTGTCTCATCCCCACAGCGGTTCCCCTGGCCGTCATGCTCCATGCCCAACCTGTCAGCATACAGCACAATGATAGACATGATACAGCACAAGGATGGACAACACACAGCACCTGAAAACTCAGGAATGGGGCCATTAGTGTGATTTGTAAAAAAGATGTCGAAACAGATCCAGAAAATATTAGCTATGGTCTTTCAAATCATTTGCCGTGTAAAGCCCAAAGAATCACGTATTTTGGATGGTCTTTGGTTTTGGTTTGAGCCCATTTAAGTCCTGATACATAGAGGTGGTTTAGTCCCAAAAATCCAATATCCAGATATGAGTTGATCCTAAAGCAACATACTAATCTGTACAGTAAAAATTAAATATAAATGACATGAATGAAACATAAAATAGTATAAAATTAGAAGTTGAATGTTTTAGAATGGATTTGATCTACATTAGAATCTGTATAAGAGCAGAGCACTAACTAAACAAACTACAAATATCTAGTGTAAAAAATTCCATTCTCTGCAAAGATTCTTCTTACTATCATGCCTTTTCCTCGGTATTGAAACCAAGTTTGAAATGTTAGTATAGTGACAACTGCGAAGGGCTGAGAGTTGATTGATTTCAACAATGCACTTATAGGTGCATTAAACACAACATTTATCTCAGTACTTGTTGTGATTTAATGATATGCTGTTTTACACACCTGCTATCCAACAGTTCTTTGAATTTTTCACACCTCTGTAGATGAAAGTAAATGAATTCCTGACTGAACAAACTCAGTAAAGATTGGCATCACTGAAATGAGTCTGTCAGTGTAAAAACGCACACAACAGAAAGGAATATTAAGATTGTCCTTCAAGCCATGTCTAAAAGAGCCAGTTTCATACTTACCCATTTTATTGTAAGAAAAATAATTGTTAAAATCTTACTTTTCATTTTAATATGAAAAGTTATGACATTTCAGAAATATTTACTTTTTACTAGTTTTAAATAGGATATTCAATGTAATTACACAGTGTTTCTTGACATCTTGCAATTTAAACAAGCAGTGCACCCGGGCCAGTAACGCATGTATCGTACAGGTAGTTGAAGTGAAACATGAAAAAGGCAAGATCATTAAAAGTGAACATAAATATACATGTGTGGTGAACAGTGCAGATGGTGTACCCTTTGTTTACTGTGCTTTGCTGCATATGCTCCTTTGGGGTTTTCTCATTACCATGGATCATTATGTCCTGAGCCTAACAAAAGACGCCATTTTATTTTTGGCTGCTTACTTTTAAGTTACCATGACATTATTAGACAATGAGAGAGAAACTGACCATGCAAAGTTTTTTGGTGAATGTTTAAGCGTAGGTTTGTGTATGTTTTTGAGTTGAAATATTAGTCCTGGTACACAGAAAAGTCTGAACATATGTAATAAGCATCCGTTGCTTACTCCTGTACACACAAACACGTTAGAATGGATGGTGAAAAATGGAAAAAATGTGCAGGCTTCAACAAGAATGAAAGAATAGAAAGACTGTGACACAAAAGGCTGTTTGAGGTACGAGAGCTGAACATATTCAGGTTGTCTATTATTATTAGTCACAATAGAAAAGTTTCAAACTAAGGAACAGATTCAATACTCAATAGATGAATAAAGACCATTTTAAAACCTTTTTTCATGAATTTTTGAGTCATTTTAATATTCCAGGTTGAAAAAGCTTAAAAGAAAAGTGTATCTTTGTGCTTACTGTATTTCATAGACTGTAAATGTTGTTGTATTCAGTTCCAATTCATGAATCGTTTTAAGGCAAAAGTAACAATGGTAAAAATATTGCATATTCAAGGACATTTATTAACCTTTTATTTCCCATAGTTACCATTGTGATTAAGAAATTAAATTTAATGATCAAAAGTCCACAAAATTGCTCCAATAAACAGCAGAAACCCATGCTTGTGTTTCATTGTTACGCTTCACTGGACCGAACCATGACTAAGAACAATATTTACTACCCAGATCAGTCCAGCTGTGTGGGAGCCATCTTTATTTGTTAATCTCTGAACTTCACAAGCCATTACACATCTTTTGTAGAGATGTTTGTAAATGTGCTTTAATTTTAATACCCACTTTACGTTCATAGGGTTTCCTCATAATCGGCTGTAATCCACTGACAGTTGATAGATATAGATCAGGTAAAATTTTGCAGCTATTGATTTCTAGATATAACTTCTTATAAGTTCCCTTACTCTCTAGCCTCAGGAGCTCTAAGGCTTTGAATAGAACAGGATAAACCACCATACTGTGAGATAACTTTTCTGCTTCACACATTTCCTTCTCTATGATCGTGTCAGCAAGAGAAGACATCGCTCTAACCCAGCTACCAAAATTTTGTCAGAATTGTGAATAATTTAATAGGCAGAGGACGTTAAAATAAAAATGAGCAGAAATTGTAAAACTTGGGTGTTTTAGTAACTTTTAATATTATGAACTATTATTCTTTAATCAGAAAGCCTTTTGAAGAGATATATTTTGTCACTTTTGGAATTATGAAATCTATTTAATTTAATCTATTTAATTAGAAAGACTTTTTAAAATTGTGATTAGGAAATCAAATTACTTTATCCTTGTCAATTCCATGAGGGTCAGCTAAACGTCCACTTAGAATGCTTGCAGCAAGATTTTATGGAGAAAATACAGTATTTGAGCCCATTAATCGAAGCAAATCTATCTATTGTATTATTCTGTCTGTTCTTGTAATGTGCTTTTGCTTTTCATGTGGGTCCGTGTAGGACTCAAATACAAAGAAAAATATCTATGTATTGATAGTACTTTAATGGAGAACAAATTGATCAAAGTAGTGAACTATAGGGATCGTTTTAGAAGCAGTAGCAGACTATCAATAGAAGTTTCCATTTTAGTGGCCATTATTGAATCAGTCTGAATAATGAAATATAGTATTTCTGCAGTAGTAGGCTATAAAAACATTAATACATATTTTAAACAACTTAATACCTCACTATTAGTTATTTGACTTCTGTAGTGTAGCCTAATAAGAAATCTCACAATGTGGCATTTTTAAAAAAATCACACACTTTTGATCCAGTAATGTAAAGCTTTTTCTTGTTTGATTCATAAAAATGGCTCCCACTCTCTATTGTTTATGTAGGAAAACTAAACAATTGTTATTATTACTGTAAACACATTCTTTAGTCGTTTTCAGTGAAAATTTTTTTGACATAAGCCTAATTTGTAAACAGAAAGTTATTGTAGTAATACACTTTCTGCAAGAGCACTCTGCCAGGCCAATGTTTTGTAGAGAACAATTCTAGTAACTAGCATGTTAACAATGAGCTTAGACAATACAGGCAAGAATGCCACAACACACTTACATCAACACAGCACATTATTATAGCCTATGTAATTGTTATAGTTATGTCACTATGATATATTTGGGTTTGCCTTTGTCTTTGACAGTGGATTTCAGTTTGTGGGGAAAAGTACGAATTGTGCCTTTTTTTCTGAAAAGTCATTTAGTATAATTGTTGTTTGTATTTTTTGGAGCAGCTGTTGCTCAGTGGTTAGAGCATCCAACTAAAGTTGTCATTATCATCACAGCAACAGCCAGTGCATGATGTAATTGTGTCCTTTAGCAAGACATGTCCAGATTGCATATGTATGAATGTGGTGAGTGAGTGAGCATTTGATGGTGGTCAAAGGGACCCATCGCACAGATCAGCAGCTTTGTTTCCTTGAGTCTACACCAGAGTAGAAGATACTTAGTATCATCAAGTGTGAGGAATATGAATACATGAGAAGAAATAATCACTGGGGTAGCAATTTAAGAGGCTTTTCAAGCTAACACAGTAAATGTGAGGAGCTATTATCATCATCATTATCATTATTATTATTGTCTATCTGATTTGCTTGGCTTTACGTCTACGTGGGTATTGCTAGAAAAGAATACTATTTTTCTCCACCAATGACACTTGAAACAGACATCACATGAGAAAAGTAGTAAAACGTAGTAAAAAGAAGCACATACACATGTCCGGTTTCATGAGCCACCACAAAGGCAGAGGAGAATCCGTCTTCATGGTTGAGTGTGCAGCTGCGAACTGGGTGGCACATTCCCGTGACTGGAGCATACCCTATCAACACAACAACATAGAAGAACGCTAAGGGCAGGGAAATTTATTCAATTACTGAGAAAAGTGGAGAAGAGAAGACAAAACCTTTATATTTCAAATAAGTCTGTGTTGAATGCTGTAACCATTTTATCCTCTGAAAACAAAACGTTTCTAAGGCTGTGGCTTCTTTAATCATGTCCTCAGGTTTATATTTGGAGTACAGTGTCAATGAGTCATAAAGCTGGTGGTGTGAAGGAGGCACACGGAAATGTAGCACACACAGCAGGTTGATTAGGAGAGAGTGAAAAAAGCCGCCCTTGCAAAGCACACCCATAAAATTACAATATGTTTCTAGTATTATTATTTAACTGTTTCAACTGCCTCATGTAACTGCACATAGATATGGTGAGAAAATCATCATTTTGGTCTTAAACTGTTCCTATTAACCCACTCTACATGATCCTGGTACTTTTATTTCCCTATTTTGTCCATAAATAAATTGCTCTTCCTAATATGGAGTCTGGCTCCTAATCCACCCTATAACTGCTGGCATTCTGAGCTACATTTGATGCTACGGGTGACATTACACTCCCTTAGAGTACATACGATTAGGTACCAAGAACACACTATCTTACAACAGAAATTTACATTTGAACAGTATTCATTTTGGCTGTTTCCATCTGTAGAAAATATTACTGGCCAAGATAACACAAGTTGATATATGTGAGAAATATTGCAGGGAATAATATAACATACACATCACTCAACCCTTTCTCATTCTAAATAAAGGAAAGTGAGAATAGTGTGTGTATGTATCAGAGGACTGAATCATTCTAAATGTTGCCTCACATATGCCATGTGCTTAAGCATGATGTGCTCCCTTGGGTGCTGCTTACTCGTGGATGGGTGAGTGTGGGATGTGAAGTAAATCTGTGCCAAACTCCTGTGGTGTTTTTCAATGACCGTCAGACACAAACCATTCTCACACCAGTGCATATGTGAATACAGCGTGGCCCGGAAACTATTTGACTCACTCAAAAGCAAATAGTAGTGTAATAATCGTGGCTTCTGATAGCTTTTAGATAAAGTCTGGTGTTACAGACTCTGCTACAGTTTTTATTTACTATAAACTAACAAAGCTTCATGTCTTCTTGTGATTCACCCATTTCAGTTATATGGATTGTTATATTTAAAGGGCCCATATTATGTCATTTTCTGATGTATGTTATAATGTTGATTCATCATTAAAAACATAACTGGAGATGTGTTTTATTTGATTCACATATGTGTAACACACAAACCTGCATATTTAGGCTTCTATCAAACTGAAAACACAGTTTAGCCTTGTGATGTTATGTGGTAATACAGGAAGTGTGCCACTGCATTTTAAACTCCTTTGCTAGAATCATTTGAATAATTTCAGATCTGAAATTGCTACTGAATCAAAGGTAAAAGACAGCTGAATGGTGGAACATTGTGGAACAAAGCAGTTTGAGTTGTTGGAGATGTAGAAATAAAGTAGAAAGCAAAGATACTCAAAAGTGTGTGAATGAAATAAAACATAACTCCAGGTATGTTTTTGATGAAGCAACAGCGTTCTATCATGGCTAAAGCTCACAAGAGTCAAATTTGTGTAATATAGGACTTTTAATATTCCATCTTTGCAAGTGGATCTTTGAGGTTGGATAATACAGGGTGTATTAAGATCACATAAAAACTGACACAGCCTTATCAGTTAACACAACAAGATCAACTACCTCTGGAGTAAATGAGTGTGATCCTCTGTCAGAAGCTGGAACATCTAAGAGATTTCTTTTTTAATAATGTACACTCTGAGACTTCAACATGTCAACCTCTTGTGCATTCTTCTAACTGAATTATCTTCAAGTCAATACATGAAAGGTCAAAGCTGTCACTATATTTTATAAGGGTGTATACAATTCCAAGGTTCTGCAATAAATGTCCCCTACTGCATTTCTTCATATCACATTATCAAGCATGCACAACTAAATATTAAAAGTAAAATTTGATTACTTAAATGGTGTAATATTTGATGCCATATAAAGCAAGGTTAATATGAACTTTATGTACTGTTTCACTTTGTAGAAACCATCTGACTTGCAGCTTGAGAATTAATTTGCTCAATGGTAGGCAGGTACTTTATTTCATTTAACCAATCTCTGCTATTTGGTCATGACGTATGTAATGTGCTGCTAACAGGGCTGCCTGGTATATCAAACTTTTCATAAAATCCTGTAAGAAGAATGGCAATAACATCTTTCCCCTTTCACCAAACATTCTCTTTGTTCCGGCTTTAAATCCTCGATCTCAGGAATCGTTGCCAACACAGAATACATGGCTCTTCGTTGATTGGCTGGTGGCTGAACTCTCACTTCTGGGTTCTTTGCAAATCGTCTAATATATTCTGATTCCTGACCTAGTCGCTGGAGAAAAATGAAATTGAGCAGAGGCACTAGGTGGCGCCAGCAAGTATTTTGTTTCATTAACACACAAATCCTGCATAGTGAGGATGAGTTCTCTCAAACTGAAAACAGTTTTTAACCCCCCCACACCTTCCTAGTATCATTTGGATGATTAACTTGAAAACTACTTCTTCATGACATCACAAGATGGAGCAGAGCATTTTGAGATTTGGAGATATAGACAGACTAATAATAAATGGTTACTCAAGCATGGGTGAATGAAACAAAACACAACTCCAGGCATGTTTTACGTACAGCACATAACAACATTATAACAGTACTTACAGCTCACAAAAAAACATTTTGTGTAATAGATGACCTTTAAAGCCTTTTTGAACAATCTGTACCCATATCTCAATATATAAGCTCTCTATTGCCTCATCTGACTTGGCTGTTGGTTGCTTGCTTGCACGTGAGAATAAAAAAGACTTTTCAGAATACTATGGGAAGTGTTTTTCTTTCTCCGCTTGCTATAAACAACTGTCTATTTGAGAAGACATGCTGCATATGGCAGGTGAATTTTATCCCCAACTCCTCTTCAATCAGCCTTTATATTACTTGTCCACGGGATAAAATATGGCCATTGTTTTATTTATTCCCATCTGTGAAAATGTCTCAATTTCAAATCATGTCACAGGCTCGCCGAAGGGCCTAATGACAGTTTGCTTACCAAGCGGCACTGCAGTTATCAGCAGCGGCTCAAGGGAAAGCTGCATCCAGTAATTGTGAGGCATTTTTCCCAGACAGAGATAGAAATATTCTGCTACAGACTGCCAGTTCTACAGCACACAACCAAGCCAATCAGAGCCTAATGACCTTGATGGCATCAGGAACACTGTCTGCTGCCTTGTGAGGATACCTAATCAATTCGCTGTACAAAGTGACTATGGCTTTATTTGTCTTAAAGGGTCAGGAGTCTGTGTTATGAATGTTATTTCTATATTGTATTTTTACTTGTACATATACAGTACATTCACTGTATATAATTATGCCTTATTTGACACTAGTAGTACTATTTTTGCTACTTAAAAAAATATATATATTATTACCAGTTATACTCTTTATTATTATAATATTATTTGCTTTGCCTTGTGGATCAGTAAAGTTTGTCTAAGTCCTAAGGAAAGTCTAAGAAACCTAATGCAGCTTAGCACTATGGATATTGAGTATTTCATTATTGTAACTGTAACTTTTTTATATTGTTGTTTATGCTACATTAAAGAGTTTGCACCTAGCTTTTTCCAAGCATTTCAATAAAATGTGTTTTTCTTCGGTTCAGATGTGTTGTATAAGCAGAGATAAGATCGCTGTGTGCTGTCTGTGTCTAATTATAAAGCGCTTTATAGTCTGATGATCAGGAAGAGTGCTGCTAGAAAGCCAGTTGTTGCTAACTTTACCATCACAGGAAACTCCACTCTTGTCTCTGACAGTTGTGAAATGCAATTATAAACCCATCATGGGGAATAAATAGGATGATTGGAATGCATAAGGAATAACATTGAACCATTGCAAATAGTAGTAAATAGTAATACTTTGAATAGAGTATCCTGGCTCACTCCACTGCACAAGGCAGTTTGCTATAATCAATATAACGAGGATGATGAGGGAAATGACTCACATTCTAAAAGATAAAAGCCACTCCTGCCACAATACAGTTTAACCACATCAACACATGGCATCAGTTAAAAATAAGGCAGTGGTTTGGATTTCCAATAATTTAAAAGACAAACTTTGAGAATATTGTTGCTATTTTAGGGTTTCAGGTGACATCTCCACATTTTGTAGGCCAGTGATTTTTAATACAGATGCGGGCAGGTGAAATGATTATTGTTAAAATGCAGCTTTCTGTTGTAATACAATGAGTTCTTGGGTCTAGTTACTTATAGAAATAGACAGGTTCCACATTTGGGCATTTGCCTTTTAGATAGGGCAAAGTGCAATAGAATCTATCAGGAAATCTGTCACAGCTCTACATTTTTGTTTATGTTTTCCCCAGTCCAGCTCCATTTCCCAGTCTGTTCCCGTCCTCCTTTTGCTGCCTCCCTCCTTTACCTGCAGCTGACTCTTATTCACTAATCATCCCAGCGTAGCTTATATACTGTATACTCCTCCTGCTCATTCAGTCTTTGCCAGATTGTTGGCCTGTGAAGATATACACTCTAGCTCTCTGAAACTCTGGTCTGTATTTGGTTGTTCGCACTGGGTGCATTCTGCTTTATTCGTTTATAGTACCTGTTTGAGTTTTATTCCAACAGCATATTCCCAGTTTTTGGAAGAGATTTTAGTTCACATTAAATATATCATATATTCCTTTGTCATTCCTTTTCAGTTCTGATTTGCCATATTAAACATTACCTGCCAAAGGACACTTTCTGTTATTGAATTAAGCCTTTGTTTGCCTGAATGCTTGTCTTGCATTTGAGTCAAAGTGATAAAATCTGGCTCTTGCCCCCATCTGGGAATATGGCATCATCACATCCTAGAATCTGAAATCCACCAATTCATGAGTTTCTGAATGATGGAATATTAGCTTCACCGCCATAACCATTCTGTGTCGTATGTGTGTGTAATACCAAAATAAAATAAAGAGTCCAAAAGCAGAATAATGTGTATAAATGTGTATCAACATCTGGTTTCTTCCCCATACAGCCCATTTAGAATACAGTGGGATAATGAAAAAGCTTTACTGAAAAGGATACCTATAACAGTATGACCTTTTCTGTGATTTCATTTGTTTCCATTTCTGTCACACAGTGCAGAATATTGCAACCTCCCCTTTTGCAGTGGTGGATCAGCTCACACATTTATCAGTGTGTAATGTGTAACCTTGTTCAGGTTTCTTCGTATGACCTCTTCTCTTATAGCAAGTGTGTAAAGAATATAATGTACCTATGCACAGGATATCTGATTTGGTCTAATACAGTCAATCCTCAAATAATTTAGGAGCTTATTGGTTTGAAGTATAATGCTGATTTTCAATGAGCTGCTGCTCTAAAGAACACTGTCCATTAGTTACACTAGTAATAATAGAGGATCTACTATTGAAAATGCTTTTATTGAATTGATCAGTTTCCTGTCTAATTAGTGAAAAAAGCTCCTTGTGCTTTCTGAGGTTCAAAGACAAGGATTTTTAGCTATGAAAAATGGCTGATGGTCTATTGCTTTCATGGTATTCTAGGCTAGTTACAAAGTACATTAATGCCACAGAATCAAACTCATGAGGCACTGCAGTAAAGGGAGAAAATAGCTTTTCAGGTGGAACGTCCACCACCTGCTTATCTTCCTGGAGAGGTTAATGCTTTGCTTGGATTGTTTCACAGAATCACATTAAACTTAACTTAAGTCCATGAAGACAAACATACCTACCAACTTACAGGTCAGATCTGTGGAAAGGTGAGTTCACTTGCAGGAATTTAGAATATAAGGTAGGTATAGTTACCATACCATACTGTGGAAAATAATAAGCAAAGCAATAACATATCTATTAACCCCCACCAGAGAAATATAATATATATGATATACATTTAAAAAAACAACAACTTTGAGTGCCTAGTAGTTTATAAAATAGAAAAATGTGAGTGTTAACTTGAACTACTGTATTATACTCAATTTAAATATAACTAAATAGGACTACTTTCGAGATGGTCATGAATTTTGCATTTATTGAGGGAAATGAACAGCTTCAATATTCGCTGGTACATCAGGTTATTGATGCAGGCCTAATCATACAAGACTTATTCATTCCATTATTCCACACCAAAACAACTATTACGATGCTGCAGATAGCACATAAACTGCTTCACACATTCCTGAGCATGCCCCTAAAATGTAAATATTGCTCTGTCTTATGAGCTTTGTCATATACTGAATGTGAATGTATGGAAAACATGCACCCTGCCTCTCCTTCATGATAATTCTTAGCAGCGTACAATGCAAGGAATAAGCGGATTAGCCAAAGCCCAAACATAGCCAAACATACAATATTCACATACAAATCAAGTAAAAATGATGCTGCAGTTAAAAAGGACATAATTAAAATAAACCATTTAAATTTATTAATTTTTTTGTACATTATTCATAACAATCTCTAAACACCAAGATTATCTGAAATTTGACCATGTGCAACACTTCTACTAAAAACTATCTCTACATGTCCTTGGCATCTAATATGAAACACAATGGCCACAGTGCTATTCTTTTCAAATAAAATACGTATAACTTATTTATGAGAATTTTAAACTGTACATCCTTTAACTCTCAATAGAAGCTCCAGGGGCCACAATCCCAAAACATTTAATAGACTTTATTAATGTTGAAATAGGCTGTTTATCGTTTGTTTTTTCTTCCTTTTACTGCAGTATAATATGGTACTATTTTATAATGATGATATTTAAATGAGCTGTGAATAGGGGTGTGAGTGGTTCACATTTACGAATATAGATAATTACGGTGGTGCATGAATTTAAGATAACTGCTAAAGGTGGTAGTTTACTTACTGTTTACTGGAATGTCATGCAAAAAAGCCATTATGCCTACATTGTTAATAACTACTATAACTACTTAATTAAGGCATTAAGTTAAGTACTACCCATAGTTCCATTATTTTTTTTAACTATGAATTATCTGATGATTTTTGTTGATTGCTCTTCTATGTCACATGTGACACAAGAACGGTCAAAGATGTAAATGTAAATGTCTCAGCATCTATATTTATTACATAAACAGTACAATGGAAATATTAGTGTCACATATACTCAGCCAGATTCTCACTGGTAAAATATAACTGACCAACAGTTGCATTGGGAGAATGTTCATATTAATGCTGTTACATAATCCATGTAATTCTAATCTTAACTATGCCTGGACAAACTCATAACACTATGTCAAGGGTGCTTTTGTTTTGATTCAACAGGTCATCTGAGACACATTTGCTACCTTCAGAAGAGAAAAAAGAATTTTGGATCAACTCCCCAGAATCTAATCTGGTGAGCCACATGGAGTAAAATGTCCCAATAAGGCGAATGAGGCCAACCGTGGCTCTTACCCTGCATCCCCGTGGGGCCGAAGCCTTGGCGAGTGAGAAAGATTGCATGATCGTGGTGTTCGGCGTGGTCCACATCCCCTTTCTGTTGTCCAAACGCCCAGCGGCACACGTTCTCCAGGCTGCGTGATGGGTTGCCTCTTTCGATCAGGCTTATAGACTGACAGCACAAAACAGAGATGAATGCTTAAAGTGCACAAGAGAGGTTTTCATATTTTTCTAATTATTACTTGGTTTGGTGGGATAGTAGCAGTGGGAAATATTTATCATAGTCAGTTTGTGGGGTAAAAGCTAAGAAAAGTACAAAAATACACAGTGTAGCGCTGTCGCGAGTTCTACAACAGAGTAGCTCTTATCCCATCAATGCAGAAAATTCCATATAAAATAAAGGGGCAGTTTAACACAAGGAAGGCCTTTTTCTGACAAATTAAATCTTTTTAAATCAAAATAGAAATGTTGTCATCTATTATCACATGTCGAATCATAACTATTGTGAAACTTAGAAAATTTTGGCCCTTAGGTAACAGTTACCTCTATGTATGCCACATCTGCTGGGTGTGTCCAACTTTAAATGTTTTAACTATGTTTTAGTGAAATGAGTAGTCTAACTTGTCATATGCAGCTTAAACTCAATCTTGAGATTCAGGCAGATCATTCTGGGCTGATGCACGCCTAAATAGCAGTGAATTTGACTAATGAGCTGTTTAAAATTACCACACGCAATCACAAAGAAGAGATGAAGACAATATGCTTGATTTGTTAAAAAATAAAATAAAATTCCTATTGAACTACCACATACAGAGATGTTTATTGTGAAGTATTGTCCTTAAATGACCTGATAATAAAATGGGGTCCATTGCACAATTTAAGAAAAAACATATACTAACACATATTAACACTGACAACCTAGAATTTGATGGGAATATATTAGCCCTTAGCCCCAAAACTGTGGAGTATTTCCTCGCTGCTGCCTCCACCTCGAAAGCAAAATCACTCCAGATACAATGTATGCTAATGGGGAACAAGAACCATTTTAAGTTTTGCTATTAATTACATGTATGCAAAATGTTATGGTCTAACGTTGTTGCTTGAGGAATAAAGATTAAAAGAACTGAACACAAAGAACTGTGACAGAAGTATTGGTTTGTTAGAAATAAAATTATGTTTCAGTTAATTTGAAATGCTCTTTTACATTACCTTCTACCCCTAAATGTTTCCAATTTTGATACACATTTGAGAAAACCTACACTCATAAATTATGCTGTAGTAAAGTATTTCTGTTGATCTTTATATCTGACACAGTAATACACCCTTATCCTTCCCCACGGCACATCCGAACTCCCACTGCTGTGGATGAAGTGGCAGGCCACATTTACCATCTACGACATGTTAAGAATACATCTAAAATCAAGACCACCCTGTAATTTACATGCACTAACATGAATGTTTAGTATTCACACCTAAAGATATTGTCAAGTAAAAACAATCACTTCTATGCTGGAGTTTTTAATGATGCAGAATGGGGACAAAAGCAGTTGTGAGCAAAGAAAGCTGGAGCTTGAAGGACTTTGTTCATGGTTTGATCTTCCAGTAGGCCAACACAAGGATATAAATAACACAAAGGGACTCTGAAATGGCACAATGTTATGCAAGAACATCCAGAAGGTCGACTGCAACAGAAGCCCGACCAAAGTTATGTATTCACTCATAAGTATGTCTGTCATTTATATATTTTTATTTATCATGTTCTGTTGACAAGGCAAATAATACCATAAGAAGGTTCTGTGAATTCTGTGGACAAAATAAATATGCTCTAACATTGTCCAGTCCTTAGACTTTACCTGGATTACTGAGACACGCTTTTATCAAAGACCAATGACATTTCCTTTCCAGTGAAAGAAATATCTAAGAGCTAGGTCTCTGTTGTTTCACCTTATGCATACAAATATCACTAGCAGATACACATATTTCTTGGCAAAAGCAGAAAATTAACTATAATCTGGCAGAGTATAAATCAAGATTTAATCAAGAAAACATTTTAACTGTCTTACCTTGGCATATCCGAGCATGATCATCCTCACCAGCACCACGTTGATGTGCACTCCCAGAGACTCATCGTGGTAAATTTCATTGACCTGAGAAAATAAAGCGATCATGGTATTACCCCACACTACACCAGTGTGATGCAGGCCTTGTGTTGTTAGTGTGCCTTCTCTCATTTGAAGCATTGAAGCTGTGGGCAATGAGCTTTTCTGTAATTATTACTCCAGCAATGGCTGTTATCATAGCACACAGCTACTACTATTTTTGGACCCTCAGTAAACACAGACATTGTGCTCTAATTTAGGCCCATGCTGTTATAGAAAAATGACGGAAACACAGTGGATAATGAGACAGGCATAAAACATTCTTCATCTCAGCACCTGCGTGTGGGTGGTATATTCTGTATTAGCATGCTAGTGTGAACATTTGTTTTCAAATAGGATTTGGTATATGTAGACGCAAGCTTGTCTTGCTTTTGCATTGGCAAGAGCAAGAATACACAATATCTTGTATTAAAGCACATGAAGAAGTATTAAACATGGCTAATAATGTACTCAATTACAAATACAACTATTGTTACCAAATGTTACTAAAGTAAAATGTGCACATAAACACAGATGATGTGTGTTTGGAAATATTAAGACAACTGGGCATTAGGACAATTGGAAATGTACAGTAATCAGTAGTGGCTATGATTTAAAATGCAGCTAATTACAATTAATTTTCTGACATGCATAGATGTGCAATTTATGTTTTAGGATAGGATTCTGTTCAAATTTTAAGTTTTTTAACACATCCAGAAAAAATGAGAAAAAGTCTACAATGTGAACTGACCAAATAATACGAAAATCACATTTCAGAATATGTTTCTAAGGTTATAAATAACAGGGTTTCCAATTTTATGCAGAATGTTTGTGGAAGAAATTATGGCAGAAATTGCAGCCTTCACAATTGTGTGAAACCATGCTAGAATGAAAGAGTACTCAATTATAAGTACTGGTTTAAACAACAAAAGAAAGATGAAAGGCCTGAAAGGGCAAAAGGGCAATGAGAGACAAGAACACACTTTAATAAACCAAAGCAGATACAGTACACTAAAGCTCTGTGATCTTATTCTGCCTTTAACGCTCACTCATGGAACATTCAAAACTCAAATTCAAAAATAATTGAACATAACCCTGGTTCTGTGATAAAGTGGGCAAGTTAGGGTTGGTGCACTTCTTTACACATTGTATGGGCTATAACGAGTAGCAGAGAGGCTCAAAGCTGGCTTTTGAACTCTCATCCCAACTAATAGAGGGCATTACCCTGTCTAGTGGGTACTTTTGATGGCACTAGACCCAGACTCTAGAATTGAGTCTGCTCCTGACCCCTGCTGTTTGGCTGTAATTTTAAATGTAGTGGAGCCAGTTTGATTTGAGCTGAACTACACTGCCCTACACCAATGAAAAGACACTGTCTGTTCTTTAGAAGCAGCACAGATAAATGAGTGAGTCAGCAGCCCACACTAAATGGCTCTCCCCAGGTGGCCTTCCCGCTGTTTTCCATCACATTAAACCAGAGAAAATCTACAAGTGATTTTTCGGTCATAGCACAACTCCAGGAGGGCTCCTATATTTGTCTAGTCTTTATTGTGTGGCTTTACACCTCATTTTCCCAAGGATAATATGTTTGCTGGATCTCATGATCTGTTCTTAATCAGCAAGCAGGATCAAATTTCCCCTTCAGGCTGCAGCTGGGCATTAGGAATCAGTCTAACCTGGAGAAATGAAGGTCCAGGTCACATCACTCTCATATGTTCAACTGGGGCAGGACAGGCCATTCAACATCAGAAGTGTTTTTAAATAGTTTTAGTGTGCATGTTAATAACAGTGGAAATGCATCACTTTCAGTCCATTTACAGTTTTCCTGTACAATCACTGTGGCCTATAAATGCCTATATACAGTCAGAATTAATTAGGGTCTCGAATCGCTTAAGCTAAGCACAGTTGCAGTGGATCTCATTGTCTTTGGGCCACTGAGTTTTCACTGAACCTCTTTGGCTCATTGCACAGAGATTGTGATTCTCCAAGGTACAACAAGAGGAAGCACATAACAGCGGCAGATCCCCAACCTCAATGCGCAATGTTTTAGTCTAAGTGTAATATGTGTAAGCTGGGTGCCCTGTTATAGCAGATAAATGCTGCTGATCCCTGTAACCCTGAGCCTGGTCTGAGGGTGAAGAGCCAAAAGGACACCGTATGTTGTCAGGCCCCTTCGCTCTCATCTGCTGTACAAATCACCTGGTCTGAGCATGTCTGTTTGGCTCTCTGCAATCTCATCTGTCTTTGTGTCTTATGTCCTTTATGTTTCTACTCACGTCCTCCACGCACACAGGGACTCCCAGGAACACTATACTGCTGAGGAATGATGAGGTGCTCAATCAATATTCCCTGATATTTGAGCTCATCTCAACCTTACTCCAGTCTTTTGTTTAGTTAGGTGAACAGACTGTACTGCTGATGTTAACATTAATTATTTTGCTGTTTACTGTCTTTTACACATGCGACCATACCTTTGGTCAGCCTTCAGCATACACATAAAAAATGTAACCGTGAGATTGGCTCTTATATAACATAACATAACATTAATTAACTGCCATAGAAGAAGATGCCTATAGAATAAAATGAGGGCAAGGCTAATGATGATGATGCTACTCTCCAGTGATTTTATTTTTCAGCCACAAGTCGCCTGACACCACATGAGGACAAAAAGAAAAAAACAAATCAAAGCCCAAATCAAAGCAGCCTAGTCCATCGTAAAGGGTTTGTGTGTATTACAAACATGTTTAAACAAGAGGCTAATGGCATCCTTTCAATTTGCAGGGCATGAGTCCTCTCAGTGTAAGAGCCACTGGAGAGCTCTAAATGACAAATACAGAATGTAAGTGAGCACTCATCCTGACCGCTCTAAAGACTTCAGTGTCACAAGCTTTTAATGGACTTTTATTCATATTTATTTAATTTAGCTCATCCTACAATTACAGCTCTAAGGCAGATGGTGTACAATCCTTTGTCCGTTTCGTCTGGTTAGGTTTAAAGTATTTTCTGATTAAGGACAAATAGTTGTTTGGATAAATTCAACATTATTATTATTTTTAAATGTTTCAGAAACACTATGTTCACTTGTCAATACAACATTTTGCACTTTTCTTTTGATTAAAATAACTGAACCTTAAAAACTGATTGCAAAGAATCACAACTAAGTAATCAAGCATTCAACTACTTTTAAGAAGACAGACAGACAACCAGTGATTTTATATTCATTCACCATGGGGTATTTCAAATAAATAAATTGGCCTGCAAGTATGTCATTATAGTAGATATTAGGGATGGGCATGATTAGTCGATTAATCGATAATTGATCATTAAGAATTTCATCGATTATGTAAATTTTAGTCGACAAACCGAATGCAGTTTGCTGTGCGTAGCGTGACCAAACAGAGGTCCATACATGTAGCTCTGCACTCAGAAGGAGCGAGACACAAACAGTCAGTTCGCCTGCAACGTACCGAAGTGCATATGAGTATTTAACGATGACTTGTACAAGAAATTGCACACTTTCCGTTCTGGTCGGGACAAGTGGGAGGCCATGTGCACAGTGTACAAAGCAGCACATATGTTTCGGTGTCCAGTGGGAAAAAGTTTTGCCAGGTGAGAGTAGCGCAATGTCGATGACGAGTCCCCATGTCCCTCCCCCCGTACGGTGTCCTGGTTTTGACAAACGCAAATATGGTCACACTAACCTGTATTCCTTTGAGTCATGTCTTTTAATCCGACAGAAATTGACCGCATCAGCGACACAAGAGCTGTAGTTTTTATCTTCGCTTAGTTTATGCAAATTAGCCATGCGGTTTTAAGTTTCGTTTCTGTGAGAGTCACGCAAAACTGAATTAAACACATTATAATAAACGGGCTGATGTGGCTCTAGAGTGGTTACGGTTTATTTGTCGTAAAGTTGAATTTATTTATGCAGATTAGGAGTGCAGATAGTAATAATAATGATGATCATTTTAATATAAAAACGTTAATGATTAATCGATAATCGATCGTTAATTCTCTCGACGATCGGTTAAGAAAATTTCATCGAATGCCCATCCCTAGTAGATATATGCTTTATACATTCCCAGCATGCCAGGCACATTATACATGAAGCCATCATTGGTAACACATTTTAATAATGCACATGAATTATAGGCCTATGTATCTACACCATAACTGTGTAGATGAGCACATTCATTTCATCAGAAGGTCTAATTGCAGCATCCATATAACGTCTGTGTAATGCCTCAGTCATCCAGGTAGAATCTATGAAAAAGCATCCATACACCTTTTTACTATAGATACATTTTTATCTTTACCTGTCTACATGATTTCACTTTCTATCTAATGAAAAACTCTGCAAACCTCATGTGCCTATTTAGCCCAGTGGTAAAACAGCCTGCCTGCGTATGTTCGAATGTACACCACAAACCCTTCAACAGTTTAATGCACACACGGACAGAAGCTATAGGGACAGGCACAATCAGCCCGACATCTGAAGAGTGGAGACTTAAACATTGGCGACATACCCATCGGTGGTCGTCTGATAATTACAGCTGATTAAAAGCCCTGTATTGTCTTGGCAGTGGAGATCACAATTATGTGGTGACTCAGGCTGCCAAAAGAGCGTCACTGGACTGCAGGGCTGGCACAGCAGATGTCAGGTTTAGATTAGCTTCGGAGAGGATCTGGAACATGGCCCGCTTTGGGTGGTCAGGCAGTGACTAATGACGTATTTCAGTGTACATTTACTAAATATTTTCAGTGATTGTAACAAATAGGGCCAGGCAATATGGTGAAAAAATCAATCAATCACATTTTGTTCATCATATCGTTCAACCATGTTTTTTGATTACATTTCAGTAATACAAATGGCTTTCAATATGAATTTCCTGAACATAAACAATACAAACGATTTATCATTGCCATTTAACACAAAAAAGTAAAATGTCTTCTGAACTAGAGTCTGAATTAAAACCACATGCTTTTATTTACAGAGGATTGCCTGTAGATGCCTTGATCAAAAAAACAAAACAAGTGTATGATTGACAACCATAAATGTCTAAACCTTGATAGAGTCAAATGAAATTGTCAAATTAATTACTTGTCATAATGCACAGGCTGAGAGGACTGGAAATTCTAATGTACTTTATAGAAATTTGTCATGCATTTTTCTAACACCACTCTTTTGATACATTCACCTTGCATGTTTTAAATCAGGGGTCTCAAAATCAATTGGAGCAGCAGCCGAAGTTATACAATGAGTGTTGGTCGTGGGCTGCATATTATGTAACATATTATGACCATCAAATGATCATGCATCCTCACATAGAATAAAGTTGAAAGTAATGTGTAGTCGGATACATTTTATAAGGGCCGCATGATATGAGATAAAGATATCTGATAACTGTATGTTGTATTAAGAACTATGTCACTGCAATATTTTAAGATTTGACTCAAAAATAAAAAATAAAAAATTGTAGCAAGACTCAATAAGCATTATATTTGAATCCAACAGGCTATAAATCATAGTTTAGAGGGGGAAACGAGGTGGAAACGACAATTAGTTTTTGTACATTCACTTTACCCATTTATGTACACACACACACACACACACAAAAGCCAGTAAGAATGCTATGTGGCCGGCATGTGAAACACAAAACAATAAAACCTGAAGAAGTAAATAAAGGCCAATGCACACATTTAAAACCATTGTTATTTATTATTTTTTTTTTTAAATAAAGGAAGTGTAAAGGGTAATGGTTGGAGGTGTATTAGCACTGTTGACACCTGGGCACCCTCCTCTGCTCCTCCTCCAATACAGCCGCTTCTCTTGGGCGACTGGATCTCTGTGACCTTTGACTTTCAAAACTAAGCTTCAAGAAACGCAGCTCTTCTTGCTCTTCTTGTTTTGCTTTCACCTTCGCATGGACTTCATTGCTGTTGGCTAGGTCCTGCTTGAGCTGAATATTGTCTCTCACTGTATTGTTATAGAGAAATCTTATCTCCCTGTATGCACTAAATTGTTGTTTCCAGCTCTTTCTTCAGAAGAGTAGCTTTGATCTTCAGGAGAGTATCTTTTTGAACTCTTTCAACTCCAAGTCTCCAAGTTTTCGTTTGTCTCTGTTTGAACTCTGCACTCAACTGCACTCCACACAGGAGCAGGTGTCCAGCCTGATCCTACAGTAGAGAGTTCTGGAGGAAGCTCTGGAAGAGCAGAGGACAGAGCAGGACATCAGACTGAAGAAACTCAACATGGAGGAGCAGAGGAGGGTGTCCTGGCAAGAAACAAACCCTATCTCCAAATACTATCCTCAGCCTCAAATAAAAACAAAACAAAACTGTGTGTGTAGAATTTAGATTGAGTAATTTAGATTGCATTCATTTACATCTTAGTTGGGTAGATCACTGGGAGTATAAGTACCACAGAATACCCAAGCACTTGGAAGAAATACTTAAGAGGAGTTATTTCAGAATAAAAAGAAGGTACAACTGAACACGTATATATCTTGGCCACAGTTCATGTAGCACATATAAAGTGAATAGTAGGACTCCAGAGTAACATTTGTTTTCCAGGAGCACAGTAGCCCTGACTGAAATCTTTTAGGAGCACAAGAAGAATATTTAGGGCCACTTGCAACAAATGGATACAAATAAGATTTTTATCTAGTTTGTATTATAGACCTATATTCATAAGCTTTAATAAAGTGTCAGTGTAATGTAGCCTACAAATAGCTGTTTAATTTGCCTCACTGAGTAGCAGTCTTTTCTTACTTTTCTTATGACCATGGTCTGGCATTCTATGGTGGTACTTGATAAATTGAAAATTGTTTAAAGTGTGGTGACTGAGACATGTGTATGTTATACTTGAGTTACGTGAATGGTTTTATAATGTGATATTTTGTGATTTGTGAAAGTGTATGTGTTGGCTGCTACTTTGGCCAGGTCTCTCTTGAAAAAGAGATTCTGAATCTCAAAGGGACCTCATAATTAATTAAAGGTAAAATTAATCATGCAGACAGATATTTTGAGCAGGAAGCAAGAAGCAAAAAAATCATTAAAAAAGTGACAGAAGAAGTCAATGAAAAAGCATTGCCACTTACATCAGTTAAGTGGCAGTTTGTGGGAAAAAGTTGAGAAGAAAAGTACAAAAATCAAGGAAGTGGGACTGAGTTCTAAAAGAGAATATGTCTACCACTGTCAACAGAGACGATCAATATGTGTTTTTCATGGCCAATGCCAATACCAATTGTTTAGAATCCAGAGCAACCAATGGCCAATAAGCTCTGCTGAAATTTTTAGGTAAATTATGTCATTTTAATTGACAACAAGCTCACCTATAGTCCCTTTGTACCACATGCCTTCAACAGGGCTACATAGTCACATTTTGAGCAGTTATTTATTTGTATTAAACCGTTCAAATAAAGCTTTGCGTGTCACAGCAGGTCAAACAAAGCGAAGTATTGGTGATGTTGGTGTTTTAAAGCCAAGTGCCCAGTATATCAGACAGTCTATAAATCAGTCTATCTCTAATGTACTTTAAAGTTTTTCCATTTAACTGCATGGAAGAGCATTTGCATTCCAGGAGTCCATTTACAGTTTGTGGTTATCGTAAAAAGCATGAAATAACAAAATAAAGTAGGATAAGATTGCAGTTACTCACTATGTTCATTAGTGTTAAAAGATAGTTCTGCACATGTTCCTTCCCATGAAAGCGCACCACTGAGTCATCCACTCCAAGCAGGATCTCGATGTTGTAGTCGCTCTCTCCCGCGTCACGTCTGTGGCGCTGATGCACACTGTTATTCACCTGTCGGGCCACAGAGTCCAGAGAGCCGACCACGTCCAGCCCTGGCTCTAAAAAAACACAAATATGTGATGTTAATATAATAAGAATGCACTGGATTTATATAGCACTGTTTTGACACTCAAAGATGCTTTACAATGCATTATCCACCATTTCATTCATACCTCTCCACACACGGTGGTGGTAAACTAGGAAACTGCCAGTTTGTGTCACAGGCCCCTTTGGCCATCACCAACACTCACGCATGCACACACCACATTCTAAGGAATGTGGATGAAGTGTCTTGCCTAAGGACACAACTACAGTTTCCATTAGAGACACTGCTACCCCACTGTGGCACCTGGTATTAACAGTGGTCTCCCATCCAAGTACTAACCAGGCCCAGACTTGCTCAGAGTTCAAGCGTTGATAACCAGATAATGACATTTTCTTACAGTAATCTTTAAAGGTGCATAAGGTTTTCGTGTTCTTGATTGTAATTCCATTTGGTGATATAGTGCCTGTGGTCAAAATTCATCATAGTTGTATGCCAGCCAAGTGTTTGTTTAACAAGTTGAAAAGAGGAATCCCATCTACTTACTTCATCAACACAAAATTCCATCCAAGATAATTTATATCCTAATAGCTTAAACACATCCACTGTTCTTGTCCAATCAGTAAGTTAAATTATAACTTATTATAAGCAGAAACTATTTTTTACTCTTTAATGTAATTAGGTAATTTAGACTAGATTTAGAAAAAAATAGATTAAACTATGCACTTTAAGTTACAGTAACAAATGTTATCTCATAAATTGTGTTTAATATTTCTGGATCAACACTGAAGTTACAGAGAGAGAGAATAAAAAGTATAGAGATGAATGCAAAATGTTTCAAATCAGATTACTCAGCCTTCTCTTCAGAGGCTAATTATGTTCCTGCTGCTGATTTGATGAAGTTCATCCTCTGAGCTGATACACATATCGCTGACTTCACATTGCTACAGCGCACGCAAAAATCACACACACACACATGCATGCACGCGCACACACACACAAACACTGTATGTTGGGTTTCCATGATTTCTAAACCTGTTATTATAGACGGAATGTGTTTACAAATGGTAGCATTCACTAAAGCTGTCCAACTTATGTTTTGTTTGTTTGGTCCATAATGAAAAAAAAAGGTTTTCAATTTAAATGTTTTTGGAAATATTCTCTAAATGAAGGCTGGCAGCAATCTATAATTTAAAATTTGGAATGAAGTGAGGTCAGGTTTTGTCTTTGATTTGAAACATGAGGCTGACTTTGTTTAAAGGTGCACTGCTCCACCAGAGACCTGCTTGTCTCTATGGAGATATTGATTTCCCTGGAATATTCCATGGTATAACTTTAAACATTTCCATCTAGCATTTATTCATTACAGTTGTTTCTACTGGTCAAAAATTAATTCTGTGAATAGGGGTGACTCACAGATCTGAATTGTAATGTAGTATAATGCTGCATCGTGATAGATAGTTTTAATCTATATTGTAGAACATTCTAGCACAAGCAGATGACCCTCCACTAGAAATGTTATGCAGTGCACCTTTAAACCATATGCATCAACAGATGTATACAACATTGTGTTAAGATGTTGATAGCTAAATGGTGATTTTGAATTGTAATTGAAATTCAAATAGCATCCCTGTTTATTTTAAAACTTCTGAGAAAAAAAACAATACATCTTTAAAAACACATTGACTACTCATCCAAAAACATTTTCAAATAAAAAAAAAACTCAAGTGAACTGAAGAAGGGGGTCATTTTCTTTTTGTAAAGCGTGCCAGTAACACAGCACTAGCCTCCAAACCAAATGAGTTCACGTCAGTCCATGCACCCCATTTAGCAGAAAGCAGGGTTGGTAAACAAAGGTCACACAGACTCACAAGACGCCTGTTTATGAAGGACATTTTGGCAGTCCGTCATCATCCCACCATGTCAAGAGCACTGCCAATGAACTGAGGCAAAACACTTGTTGGCCCACAACCTCCTGCTCAGTGATGGATAGAGTGAGAGCTGAGGATTCAAGTGGGTTTCAGATTGTATCAACGGAGTCTAGAAGAATGTCAACAATGAAATACGATGTACACTATCAGCATATATCAATATACTGGTAGCAGTGCTGGTTCATTTTTCTTCCTGTATATTTCGTCTTGGGAGCATGGGTCACTGGATGTTACCCAAGCATCTGGACAGTTAGAGCAAGACTGACAAAGTGGATATACAATAGACAGCCCTTTACTGACTTTACTTTATTTAAAAATATAAAAATACAAAATACAAACCTCCATGTGTTTGAGTGTGCCTATAGTAACTATTACATACAGTATAAAGTAAATTGGGTAAACATGTATTCTGAGAAACTATGATTGTCAGGCCAAGAAGGCACACTATAGGAAACCATGTGCCCTTCAATGTGCAGTAATGATTTGCATTCTAATTTGTAATATGTAAGCATAAACAGTTATACTAGATAAATTTACACAGGCTTACTGTAGCTGTGTCCTTGAACAAGACTTCCAGGTTTCCTACTTCCAGCTTATAAAACTGGCAAAACAAACACAGCACAGGACCTTAAAGATGTATCCTATCACCAATTAAAATACATCTGAACAATCTTTCAAAACTCAAGAATCTTAAAAATACAAGGAAATCAAAAATAAAAGCATTTTTCATTTTTCCAGCGATGCTTAGGGCTGCAGACAGCCCTGGTGATTGAGTGGAGAGAGGGCTAGAGTAAACAGGGAGCACTGGTTGCCACCTCAACTGTGGGTCCGGGCTGCTACAGTGTTGGGATTGTGGAGCACATTCCTGCTCTCCACCGCTCCCATCGTGACACAGGCATTCTTGTGAAGCGAGCCCCCACTGCACCCCTCCCCACTTTGGGTAAACAGCCCTTCTAAGGTCCCTACTTCAAACGTGCTGGACTTCCCCTCGGTAGTGCACCTTAAGAACGCCAGTGTGTCTCAGTCAATGTCAACCCCAAAAAGCCTGTCCCGTGGGAGTAGCTAGCCACTCAGAGTCTAAGCAACACGTGGCAACGGGGCAACTGAAGGCCTGCCAGTGTCTCCAGCAGCCTGCGCCCGCCAATGCCAGCCGCATGCTAAAAACAGCACAGAGGTGGGCGACAGGTAAAATGTGAGAGAGGAATGGAAATGTACAGTATCCCCCATGGTGACGCCATCAGAAGCCACGCAGCATTATTCACACTCACACAGAGCAGGAGTCATACAGAGTGCTTTATCTGGAAGTACAAATCTCACACATTACAGTAGGGCTGATCCACAGATTGTACATGTTTGTGAAGTGGATTTGGGGGAAACTATCTGCTTGTGTTGAAGACAAGACTCTATTTCACAGGAGGGGGTAGCTCACGTAAAAGGGACATTTGTCTGCTCCCCAAACTGATCCCGAACACAAGGCAGGTGATTGGCTGTGGGGAGGGGTTTAGACAGTTCTGCTCACACTGGAATCTTGGGAAGCATTCTCCTACAGTACTAGAGTGAATTCATGGACATATTCAATGTACATTCTGTTCAGCATATTTCTAGTTCATCCCAAATAATTTCAAGTATGCTCAACTTCAAAATTCAAGTTTAAATTTGTATAGTGAAGAAATTGCTTTATTCTGTGTACTAATCTCATATATTCATTTAAAATCTAGATTTTTATAAATTTGTATTCATATTATCAGATGGGAGAATTAGTTTATGTATTCTGTGTATTCTGTGGGGAATGTTCAGTTTTATCTTTCTTACACAACGTGCTGCTCTCCACCTCTCCACCCCCAGAACACTGCAGGGTCAAAAGTACTTTATGTTTATTTCTGTATATTCAGTCCGTCTTGTCCAATTCAAACAGTTCTCTCTATGAGTATGAGTATGAATAGTAAGTAAATAATGAAATTTGCAATATGGCACTGAGATTAAGGTCATAAATGTACTGTTAACACAGTTGTTTTGTATACTAGTCGATGTTTAAGTTATAACAAAAGTCACTGTGCTCGAGCCAACCAGAGTAAATTGTGCCAGGCACTTTGTTTATGTAATGTTTATCTGGGAATCCCAAGACTATTCACTCTTCCTTTTGTTACTTCCATGTTCAATGAAATTTCAGGCTCATTCACTCTTATAACTTTTTGGTAGTTTTTAACCTGCTCCAGGGCTTTGTGTATAGCGATTAAAATGACAAAAACACAACCAGAGAAGCTTGGTCTTCCTCAATACGTAATTACAAGCATTAGTTCTGAAGTTATTTACCATTATTAATACAGGCTTATTGTAGTTTTTTTTTTGACAACCAACGACTGTTATAGGTAAAACGGGAAAATAACAATGAGAAACTAGACATTAAAATCAATTTACATCTTACAACTAAATGGTGCAATGGAGAGATTATGGTATTATTGCTTTACCTTGGTATTATTCCTTTGCCTACATCATTACACAGAAGCATAAACTTCACTACCTTATGGAAAAAAGCAAATGACACCTCAAGGCTCGGTTATAAGTATGACTTGTGGAGTGGAGAGACTGCTCAGAGTAAGAATATACAATCTCAAGTACTCTCTCAATAAATATAAGATGCCATACAGTGGAACATTGCCCTTAAAGGGATAGTTTGGGACTTTTTACATAAATCTGTATGGCATCCCCGTGAGCAGTGTCGTGCATCCACACTGACTTACCCCCGACAGCGTCCGGTGAGTTGAGATACTGGCCGTTTTCGGTGCTGACGAAAATAGTCCGGCAAGTTGGCTGGGGACAGTAAAATAAAGTGTTTTTCTTCTCAAAACTACATGTGTTCAAAAGAGTGATACAACTGCATCACAAAACCATCCACCTCAAAAAAGTCAAACCTCATAATCGCTTGGCACTATTTCCTTCCTTTCATATCACTGCGCACTGCCGCCAGGTGACAGCCGCGCCTGGTTCACTTTGTTTACTGCTCGGAATGTTAGCGACAACATGTCTGATTACGACACCGACAATAAAGACTTTGCCTTTACGACAAAGCCAAGGGGAGATCGTT